TCTGAATCTTTGCTTGCTACATCATCATACTTATGTATTGATCCTTAATCACACTCTTATGTATAAATATGTCAATATCTGTAATAATGTTGAATTTCAAATATTTTGGGTTGTAAGCAGCTGATGAGAACCTAACGAAATAAAATGAATTCATATTATTCTGCACCAACCTTTGTTCTTGCTCTCTTTAAGATAATGATAATATATTCTGAAAATAATAATAACAGAACGTATGCCAGTTTACAGGCATGATCAGCTCGATATGGACAATAATATTAAATATAAAGAACAGATCCATGATATAAGATTGTTTTAAGTTTACTAGTTCAAAAGTTGTTTTGGTAGTACATTTTTCACATGCGTCCGCAGCATATTTTTAATTCTTTTTAAGTTGACATCCTGTTGATGCATGAACGGTGCATTTAAAGTCATTTACTGGTTCATAACGAATTGATTATAATCATCTACAACTATCGAAAATAAGACGAAAGAAGAGAGCATGTAACGAACCATCCAGCTCAGAGAACAAAACCACCAAAAGCACGGAACAAAAAAGGAAATAATTAGAACAGTAGGTTAATCAGGTTTACAATAAAATATGTTAGGTTATTTTATGATACACTATTCGTGTTAGATATTATTCAAATTAGTTAGGGCTGCCAGGGTCGTTTTAGAGGTAAAGTAACTGATGTGTGGGCGAGGATGATAGAAGTTTCGAATTATGTAACCCGTAAGATCTTGGGACTTGGAGGCGTTTCGAGACCTGTTTTGTGGACAAATTGTAGAAATACCTAAGTTCACTACTGTACGTAACTTAGATAACACCTTATCATTTATGGTAATAACTAAGTTGAGTGATGTATTACCGACGCACATCCGTCCATATTTAGCCGTGTTCATCTCTTACTGCCATTTTGAGCGCCATTGGGCTATATTGTTAAGCTCCATACTGATGTTATTTTGTATATTGTTCAGCTCATAAGAAAGAAATGAATACACTACTCACACAAAAACAATCGTAAATATCATTGATATAAACTAAAACAATAAAGGGCCTAAGACACTACCTTGTGTTACACCAATCCTGATAGGGACAGCATCTGACAAGGAAGAGTTGATCTTGAATATTTGGTGTCGGTGACTGAAAGGATTGAATCAAGCAAACAGAGGGCTTTTGCCTCTTAGAAGCGAGTGGTTATATACATCGAAAGCTTCAGAAATGTCAAAGCGTATCACTGAAACTAGACATCCTCAGTTATGTTGAGTAAAGACTAAATTAAAGAAGTCAAAGTGAAAAGTCATGAAAGATCGACTTTTCAGAAATACATGTTTATCGTATGGGCTATGGCTTGAGCAAACTATCGTGCTAGAGTCATCAAGGATTTCTGAAGGTCAAAAATATTATTATTTTGATAAGGTGGACTTATTTGCTCAAACTGACCTGGCAAACAGTCACCTGTTCGTTGGGGTTAAGTTAATAGTGAGTGACCTAGTAGTTCGTCTTGCTTATCGAGAAAGTGATAAGAAAATGTATATCTTGCAGATTCACTATGTAAAACGTTTGGAAGCAACTGTGAGACACTGTAGATCCTTGGAGTCTGTATAATTCTAGGCCTGTTTGCACGAAGATTGTGGTGTTCGTTTTGTGCGTCATTTGCTCGAAGTATATTGCTTTAATTTAGAAAATGGGGCAGTGACATGTCGCCAATTTTTCGCAAGTCCACCTTATATGATTTAATGGTGAATCGACTACCTCTTGCCTGTGTGCCCATATAACTATCCCTACGATTAGTACGGTCGAACTTGGTATCAAAGATTATATTTCCCTTGTATGTAATAATTTTGGTACTAGTTTTGAAACCAGACAATTCTGTATATACTTTCTTTCATATGGTTAGGACTTTTTATTCTTAACAGAGTTTTGAAGAACTTTCGCTTTAGAACTAGGCATTTGGGTATGAGCTTCTAATGTCAGATTGGGAGATAACAGATCTGTTTACATGAAGTATACATTGGTTGTCTGAGGTCACTACAGACAAGTTAGCATCAGTGGGTCCTGCTACTGAGGCGACGGGATCTGTTGTATTTTCTACATCATTATTGTACGCTTTTACGTAAGCCTTTGATTGGTGGTTGTATCCGAGCGTTCATAAAGTTAGTAAGCGTGCAGACTAACCGTTGGAATTTCTTCAGTTGTTCGGTTAATAAATGTGAATCGAACTTAAACAGGATAGATGTCTCTAGGCACCACATCCTTCGACAATAATAGCTTAAGTGGTGATAATGCTTTTTAGTTCTTGCTTAATATTATCATGCACTGAGATTAGATGGTGGTTGGAGGTTGTCAACAGGAAACCCTGGACCCGGGTTTCGTGCTACTTGGCACTCGTCAGCAAGGTGTACCTGTAATCTTGAGGGAACTGGTGCTCCCTGGCGGATTCGATCTCGTGTCACCCAGCTTCACAGTCAGAGACGTTACCACTGAGCTATCCGAGCCGTGACTAACCTCCTGTAGGACTGAGATGTAATCACAATTGATTGATCACTGGGTGGTGATCAATCTCATGCTTGTCTAGTCCTTATTAGTGCAGATCGAATGCTATCGATCATGTTGCGATGTGGCCACCAGTCTAGGTGACTCGACACTGCGGGCACTATGTATTGAGATTAGATGGTGGTTGGAGGTTGTCAACAGGAAACCCTGGACCCGGGTTTCGTGCTACTTGGCACTCGTCAGCAAAGACTAGACAAGCATGAGATTGATCACCACCCAGTGATCAATCAATTGTGATTACATCTCAGTCCTACAGGAGGTTAGTCACGGCTCGGATAGCTCAGTGGTAACGTCTCTGACTGTGAAGCTGGGTGACACGAGATCGAATCCGCCAGGGAGCACCAGTTCCCTCAAGATTACAGGTACACCTTGCTGACGAGTGCCAAGTAGCACGAAACCCGGGTCCAGGGTTTCCTGTTGACAACCTCCAACCACCATCTAATCTCAATACATAGTGCCCGCAGTGTCGAGTCACCTAGACTGGTGGCCACATCGCAACATGATCGATAGCATTCGATCTGCACTAATAAGGACTAGACAAGCATGAGATTGATCACCACCCAGTGATCAATCAATTGTGATTACATCTCAGTCCTACAGGAGGTTAGTCACGGCTCGGATAGCTCAGTGGTAACGTCTCTGACTGTGAAGCTGGGTGACACGAGATCGAATCCGCCAGGGAGCACCAGTTCCCTCAAGATTACAGGTACACCTTGCTGACGAGTGCCAAGTAGCACGAAACCCGGGTCCAGGGTTTCCTGTTGACAACCTCCAACCACCATCTAATCTCAATACATAGTGCCCGCAGTGTCGAGTCACCTAGACTGGTGGCCACATCGCAACATGATCGATAGCATTCGATCTGCACTAATAAGGACTAGACAAGCATCAGATTGATCACCACCCAGTGATCAATCAATTGTGATTATCATGCACTGATGAAAAGCTTGCAAGTGACTCCATTTTAGGACTTATATCACCCAATGGCTGATATATACTGCCTAATTCATCCCTAATATTATCTATGCTAATAGATCTTGACGTAGAACTCGTCATTAAATTAGAAAATGAGTCACCCAGCATGACGTGTAGGCTGGGTCCGGCCTGAAAACTGTAGTCTTGATAAGGTTACTGAGCCTAGAGCATACGTAATAACAAAGTATTTATCATCGTAAGTACTAGGGCTTTCCGGGCTTGTTCTTTTGATAGGTGACTCATATTGATGTTAGTGTTGATCCTAATAGTATTTATACATTATATAATAAGATTCAATAATAACTACATACTTGATATCAGACGTATTATTGTAACATGAAGGTCACTGTCATACATTTGAATACCTTACGCAACATCTTGGTTAGTAAATAATTCCCTCCTCTCAAAATCCGTTTTCAAATTCCTATGATATGTGGTGCAGTATTTTTCCCACATGAACTAAGTTGACAATTTTGTGAGTACAACTGTAATTTCGTCGTTTTGAATACATTTAATGAGTTTTAGTGTATTTATTATTTAAAAACTAGTCATTATTTTAGGCTGCTCCTAGTTGAAGAAAGACTACGATGTAACAAGAATCTATTTTATATTCACTTTCGATTGCTTGGAAATTATTATGAAAACCAGGTTTGCAAAAATATCTTTATTTAAAATACATGGAAGAATTTTTTATTAGTAATAATAATAATAAAGACCGGTAAGCGAACTACTCCAATCACAACATGCCTACCACTTATGAAGTGCCGTTTGATAATTTATCTAAATAGATTTTGCTATATTCCGTAGGCAACATATACTCTATATGATGAAAAACGGTAACTAGGCAATAACATTTGTGTTTAAGAAAAACACTTGTTTGTTTTTATTGCAAAACAATATTTGTTTCATATAAGGTTGTTGGTTATTCCTAAGAGGCTTTCGATCTTGGTGATCATAAACATACTTCGAGATTATTATTACCTATTTCAGGCTGGTTACATAAATCTTGTCAGTCAGAAGATTTATCGATCTCCAAACTGTTGTCAACTGATTATGACACTAAAATTGCATTAGATCCTACTTATTCTAATCTTCTATAGAACCCATGTTAAGTCATTTTTGAATTACATAGTATTTAACTAACGAAATGGAAACAGGCTAGACATGCTAAGTGAAGTTTACTTTTCATGTAAAGCTATATATTAGCTAGATCACTGGGACTACGATTTGGTGGTAAAATTTTATGTGATTGACAGTTTGTTCGAACCGTTCAAGCACTACTAGTTTACGCATGTGCACTGTTTAAGAGTGGAAACAACTGAAGGGATAGATATAAAAATAGCTTTTATTATACACAATAAATACAGCTGTTTCGGTGGTATACAAAGAAATTAAAGCATTGTCTTCATTGATCACACTAATTTGTTACATATATTTGCAAACAGTAAGAAATGAATATAAAGTATATAATTCAAAAGTCTCCATTACACAATGGCGGTTTAATAGATGCACGATATACGCGACCTTCAAATATTGGATGTGAATCATTTTGATTTTGTTGCTGCTGTGATATCGATGAATCTTGAGGTAATATGAATTTGAGACGTTTACGCAAACTTGGTCGAAGTTGTGGCAGTAGTGGGCGAACTTGATCGAGCACGCCATTGCCTACGTACATATATTTAATATGATACAATAAATCAGCTATTGTATCAACATGTACTAATGGTATACCGGTTTCCGAAGGTAAATGTTCGCCTAGTTGTTTTGAATTACTTATATCCATTGAAATTTCCGAATCACTGGATTTTTGATAGTTTGATTTAGCTAAAATAGTATCAACTTTCCAAACAGCTCTGTAAAGTTCAGCAGTTAACTAGAAATAGAAAAATTATGAAGCATATAGGATAAACTAGTTTTGATATAAGTTAGGTGAGTATGAGTGAAGTCACCGGCAATTAAATGATGTCTGATAGTGAACTAATTTATTCAAGGGGTATTAAGTAGTCTACTGATACGTTACAGAAAAAAATGACATAATATATCAAACTCAGTAATCGGCTACAGGTTAACCCAGTCCGTCTAGGTCATACTTCGAGAGTGTGAGAGCTAGTGATAACTGCTGACTGCTCATATTAGAAGCAGGTTAGTATAGCTAGGTTATTTATATGTGCCTTAGTGGATAATAATTGAAAAACTCAATGAAACAACGTACAATGATCTTTTTATGATGTCATTTGGAAATATTCGTTATCAACCACAACTTTTTAGCAGTAGAGATTACAATTCTAGAAAGTTGGAAGTTCTATCGATCGGACGAGCGGGAAGAAGTAATGAGCAAATGGGTCCTCAGAGAAACAATAAATTTTTAAGTTGTTGCAGATCATCAATTCACCTATGATTTCAATACACAGGTAATCGAAAGTGAGAATTATTCATTATCTTTTCTATATTTTCTTTTTTAGAAAGGTATTGTATAAATGTGAGCCACAAAGAGATAACACGTCTACAACATATTTGACGCTATCCTTAATAAAAGTAGATATAATTCATGCAAAAACATCTTTCTACTTAAATATGGTGTATTCCGTGAACAAATCACAATAAAAAACAAATACTTACATCGACTAATTTTGCTGGACGCTCTGAGTGCAAAGATCCCATTAATGGTGCAACCAGATAAAATGCCATCAATAGTTGAGCTTCAGTGTGCAATTCCGGTAAGATGAGATCTGAGAAAATGCTTTTAAAAATTGAATGAGAATTAGGATGCAGAAAATTATACACATATAATAAAATCTGTAAGTATGTTGGACAAATTTCACCTGTAACTTTTCTACGGTTACTGCCAGTCCCAAGCCCGGATAAAGGAGGGTCGGGCATGGGGTCAACAATCTCATCCCGTAGAAAACAGACTTTAAAAAAAACACTAATTATACTGGATAAGTTTACTTTAATGTTAGTAAAACTGGATGATAAACAAGCAATCATAAAGTAAACTCCATTAAGTAGAAATGTCGCTTGGAAGACAAATTGAGAGCTAAAAATACGATCTAAAAACATATAGCACAACGTAAAAACATGAATTGAAAAGAATCAAGTGTTCAGTACTAGTTTGAATGAAGTACACAAGTACCATATCAACTAAGTAGATGTAAAATAATCCACTGATAAATATTAAACGGATTGTTTTTATTTAAATATTTACTGGTTTACAAAATATTTCCAAAATAGGTGGAAAAATATACAACCAAAATGTTACTACGCAATGATGGTCACTTTTTACCTAACATACGTTAACACTTCTGATGAGTAAATTGGGAATGAAATCACCAGTCAGATTACAAAAATAAACATCAAATATTGTTTTTAGAGTAAATAGTTTCAACTCGCTTTTGCTAAAGACAGAAAATCAAAAGGTAGTTTGCAAATCAAAGCTATTCTAAACATGTAGTTTCGATAGCTTAACTACGTTTAGGCTCATTAGCATATAATTTTATCAGCTGTCATTTGACTCTTGCGAAATCATGCAAAACACAGCAGAGAGAAGCACATTTTTTATTTTCATCTAGAGCTCATAATCTCAAGGTATATAATCAATATATCTTGATCAAAATTTTGAAGTTTTGCCACTATACAATGATAACAGCTAGAAAGCAATTGAAGAATAACCTGGGCTTTACAAGATTATATATTGAGAATCCCCAATTTGTAGAGTTAGCCAGGTAGGAAGTGAGATGAATGACAGTTACGCCACGTTGCGAAGTTAGCAACGTTTAACCAATGGCATCTAAGTAGTGTATACTACTATATATAGTATTCTGATGACACCTATAAACCAATACTGTATACGGTCTAAGTGAAACTAATCGCATTTCTTTGATGCGGTTCACAATCTTTAAAAATTAGTGTACATACTAAGTAACAATTCACGTCCTTTGGTTTAGAAATATTTCCGAGATAACTACAACCGATTTTATTTTCCGGATATCATAGAACGAAATATAGTGTTGATATAGTGAGCTAAGAGGTCTACATACCACTGACCTGAGAAGAAAAATTGATTTAGACTGAAACATTGAAGAACCTTTAAACTGATTGGCTACCTTTACAACTGTAAATCATGAATGATACAATGAGAAGAAATTCAGCCTTGTTTGACAGTTTTGTGAGCATGATTTTGCGCGTAAATGATAGTTTCGTTTTCTTATCATGTGTCCTTGTTTAGTTGATCAGTGGTTGTCTTCTGATATGCACACCATTACAGCCATATGTTCGGTTTCGAAAACAATCATTCATACAACCATGCCGGTCATCCTGTAGTGGCTTTGCTTCGTTAATCAATCACCCTTGTGACCGTTATTATACAAACCTCAGCGATGTTTGAAATCGGAAGGCAATGAAAAGCGGCGACTACAAAATTGGTGAGCCTGTAGAGCAACGGTAGCGCGTCTGACTCCAGACCAGGAGGCTGTGTGTTTGAATCATATCGGACTCACCACTTTTGTGACCCGGGATCTGGCTCCAAGAAGATCGTAACTTCTTTCGTGAGTCGGGTAACAGATAATCTCCGATGGCATCGACTTCTGCTGAGATCGATGTAATACTATGTGACCTAGGAACTGTAAGGATCCCTTTACAAACTCAAGCTTCTCGGCGTTTATGGAGATGGCATGTTTTCGCAGTCGCATGAATAGTTGTCGTAGTTGCTCATCCGTAGAGGCACTGACTACTAGTAAATCGTCGATGTACGCATACACTTCACGTAAACCTCTGATGACCTGGTCAATAAATCGTTGAAATGTTTGCGCTGCATTAGTCAATCCGAAAGGCATGCCCAGAAATTCATACAACACGAATGGGGTTGTTACTGCTGTTTTTGGTATGTCTTGCGCCGCTACAGGAATGCGATAATATCCTCTAACTAGGTCCATCTTCGAAAAAACAGTATAGCCTTCCATATTGTTGGTAAAATCGTGAATGTGAGGTATAGGATATATGTCGGCTACTGTTTGTTTTTTATGTGCTCGATAGTCTCCGTACGGGCTAATTTCTTCATTCTTCTTCGGGGCCATGTGTAACGGGGATGCCCACGGGCCGCTCGAAGGCCTTACAATTCCTAGTCTCATCAGCTTGTCGAATATTTGTTTCGCAATTTTTAATATTCTCGGATCCAACCTTCTTGGCCCGTTCGCTATAATGTGGTGCTGAATGAAGCGTTTGAGATCCGCCTTACTGTACGTTACTTTCACGAGTTCGAGAAACTCTGTTAACAACAATTTACATGGATAACCGCGGCTTTTATCTATCACTAGGTTCATGTAAATGGATTCCGTAAGTGTCCCTATTATCAAAGTGATGTGGTTACCGTTTATAAGTCTGTGACGCCGTGAGTCTACCAGCAGATCGGAGTTACATAGCAAATCAAATGCGTTGAATTTTCGAAACTAGATTATATCGTCGAAAATTATTTCGTGTTCGTACGTCGGGGTTACCAATTATATATATAAATATATAATGTGAAAAATAGGCTTACCCAGGTAACGATGCTAGATGTGATGTGTTAGCATGTGCCCAAATTGAATGCCATAAATTAGCTTTAATCAGGTATTCCGTCACATCGGACGAAAAGTCCGAGTTATTGAAATTGTTCTTCAGAGTTTGGTTTGCTTCAGCACTTTGATGTGGTATCTCAATAACACTACAGCCCCCATTACTAAGTGTATCGACCAAATCAGAGTCTGTTTTCTGATCTAATGGAAGATATTTTTTGAAGAAATGCAAAGCTACTTTTGGTGGTTTTAGCAGTGAAGTATTTCCGTCTTTAAATGATGCACCTTCAGATGTTAAAGTGACGTTATCTACAGAGGTTAAATTAACATCTAGCAATTTTCTATGACGTAAAGCTCTTGATGAACGACGCCACTTAGTATTAGTATTATGATCATTAGTAAACTTTACATCAGAGATGCACGTGAACATATTTTCTGGATCTGTTGGATTCGATTCAGGTGTGGTGTCACAAAGAATTGGGTCATTGAATAGGGTGACGCAAAATTTAAACAGAGGAAATCGGTAAACACTCTGAAAATAAACGGCATTAATTACAAAGAAACGAACAGTAATATGATAATTTTCTGAATTTAATTTAATAATAACCAAATTATGTACGAGCTTAAAATTTTTCTGTGAATACACATAGTTTAGACGAAAACAAATTGTCAAATGGCCTTTATGTTCACCAAGTACAACCTCATAAATAATTGTGAACTGACATAAATTTCTTATTTGCATGTCAAAATCTTGAAAATGACATTCAAATTTCCAACTTTAGTTGAGATATGATTTAAGTGACTTAATAACTATATAGATGGTATTCATCAGAGGCTAGTTTTAATTGGGGTGTCACTAAAAACAAGGGAGAACTAGACGACTGTGGAATCTTGAACGGTAAGATTGTGTAAAATTCACTGGTATGATTACAAAGCGGACATCTTGAGATCTGAAAGTATTCGGTTCAATCCTAGACGGGGTGCGTGGAGCGCAGTGCTGAGGAGTCCAACATTAGAACGAATCAGATGACCAATGCACTCTAGTTTATAACAGTACTACAACAGATATCGATGTATGACGAATATCGTCTATAGATTGAAATGCTTTCCACAAAACCACTTCATCTAAACTTAATGGACAGCTGCTAATTTATGAGTGATGACGAAGAATAATGACATAATTTCATTACTATTTATTCAAATTCATAGAAACTGAACAGCACAGAGTATTTTCACCTGATAAAAATTAATCAATGTCATCATTATGTTGCATAAAATAATACAACTAATACATTAACTTAGTAAGCTCAACACGATATTAGTTGATATAAGAGTGATAATGTGAGACAGGTTTTAAAATGTCTGAACTAAAAAGGACTAGAAATCGAATAAAGAAAAGTTTGGCTTTAATTTTCAAGCATGTATTACATGGTTCCTGTTCATGGAAAACAAAAGTGAAAACTTCGCGTACGGTTCCACTGAAATAGATGTATCCAATTCAAGAAAAACTGTTTCCTGTCTTTTTACAATCAGTTTATCGCTCTTTTATATCGCTGTAATCTTACTGGTTTATTCGAACAATTTTATTTCAAAATAGGTCCTTCTGAATAAGAAGAATGTGTTGCTTGTGTACGTTATTCTAGGTAGTTAGTTAGCCAATTGATTTCCTGGAAAATACTTTTACAAAGTCGTCAAAAACCAAACAGATGTTCAATCCTGAATGTTGGTTTAATATAAAAACAAATTTTCACAACCAAGTTGAAATTCACCCAAATTTAAATTTGAAAATGATTAACTCACAGGTAAAATAACAGCTAGGGCGCCAGTGATATTTTGTAGTTGATTGAAATTTATATGTTTCGCACTAATACAAGGAAAGTAAAATATTTTTTCACATCAATAAAATGAGAGGAAAATAACAAAAACCAGAAATCTCTGGGAAATTGAAAATGTAATTTGACAAATTATATAAATGTATAGTTCACTACTGGCACTGCCAAGACATTCACACTTCTATTTAACGTGTGAAATTCGTATTTTCAATTATTTGGGTTTGCATGTTTATTGCTAGATGATTCTCATTTTAACTCCATCAATATTTCAATGACAATGTAATGAATTAGTTCATTTTTCTTTGAATTTATTGCTTATTTCCATATATATCAAGGTAAAATTGGTCTTAACTTGTTATCAAATGGTTTGTGGACAAAAATGGACTGTTTTAACGTCTGTAGAGATGAAGGTATATATGTGTGTTTACTGTACAAGTAGTAATGTCACGAGTCGATTCCAAGTCTTTCTTTTTATCAGTCTTTAAATGTTTTCCTGTTAGAATAAGACAAAAAGTCAAGCAACAGAATTTAACATTTTTTTATTTCGAGCACACGTCTTACCTAGCTTCAAAATAATCATAAATGACTAGGTTTCAAAGTACAACAAATATTTTATTGAAGTTTTAGGAATTTCGTACTGACATTACTACCATACACTATAAATTATTTCTTAATCGTTTAGATAAAATCAAGTATGACAAATTTTTTATAAACAATCCACTTTCAATCGACATATATTAGTGTGAAATGAAAATAAACAGATTTTATACCCAAAACAACTAACCAATTAGTTAGGAAATCAGACACAACTGATGTCAATTCATTAGGCAACATAAAATTGGACATTAGTTCAATTGAGGCAGCATATAATCCTGCAGTTTGAATGCATACGGACTCTTCATAATTCCAAATTCTCCATGCTGCTGAATGCCCATAAATTCCATGTCTTTGGTTGCCTAAATGGAGAAAAAAGTGGATAAATCCGTTTTATTAAATTGCATTACATGATAAATTGGATACTTCATATCCACATTAGTTTGTACTATGAAAGTAAGCACCTGTATTTATTTATAAGCTACGATAAAAAAAACGTTTACATCAGTGTGGTTCTATGTTTTTATATAGTCAGCCTTCCTAAGACAATTAGACTGCATCTTCTTTAGATTGCCGAGGCAATAGCCATACATTTTGGAAAACCAGAATAATGTGTACAAAAAAGACTGGTACAATCTCTTCTACCATGGTCTTAATGTATTAAAATTTTCTCTTTCTTCATACTCTTGTTCCCTTAGGGCCCCCAAATGCCCTGGTACGGCCGGGAGCGGGGTGGGTCCGCCCTGCCTCTCGAAATACTCTCACATGGCCACGCATATACAGCCTCTGCCAGGGAAGTCCTACTCATTGCCATCTCGTGGCGGGGCTGTTGTTTACGAAATTGAGAGGACGAAAAGCGAATGTCCGGCGCTTCAACCGGATCCCAAACCAATGGTGCACATTGGCTCCAGTATCCTGCGGGAACAAATGACGTATGAACCAATCGTTGGTCACCGGCTTCCATGGGACTGCATCTCCTCACGATGCTCCACTGCCTTGTAGGTCAGACCTTTAGGTCAAAGGCTCAGGGTTTGGCCCCCTAAGAAAACCACCTGCTTTGGTCTAGGCACCCGAGCAGTATCACAGCACACACGCAAATGATGAACTCTCTATATCTATGGAAACTACATTTCTCGCTCCGAATAACAATCAAATGATTCAAATTATTATCATCACTATTATTATTATTATTATTATTATTATTATTATTATTATTATTATTATTATTATTATTATTATTATTACTTACTACATTATTATTCACCCTCGTTTATTCTTACCCCGTCCATACTTATTTTTCCGGTTTATACAGCAGCTCGCCTATAGTGGAAACTCGGTTCTATCTAAACGTTCTCGAGTCACTGCCTGGTTGAAAATTGTATGCTACCACCAAATACGAATACTGAAGCAGTTTTTCTGAAACCACGTGCACCATTCAAACTGGCTGCCTTCAACGTTCGCACACTTATGCAGGTCGGACAACAGATAGGGCTGGCTATGTCTTTGGAAAGTCCTAATATCGATGTCTGCTGTCTATCCGAGACCCGTATTCAAGACTCTGGTGAAGTACTACAAATTCGCTCTTCATCTGTCGCTTCGAAAAGCTTGTTTTACGTGCGCTTATCCGGGGACCCTGTGGCATCTTCGTCTGGTCTTGCTGGCGTTGGTGTCGCACTAAGCGCTAGAGCTGGGGCAGCACTAATCGATTGGATCCCCATTAACACTTGGTTATGTGCTGTTAGGTTAGAAAGTTCCATCAAAGTGAGAAGAAATCGGCGTGAGAAACGATGTCTTTTCGTCATCTCCGCGTATGCCCCGACAGATTGCAGCCCGGATGCAATCAGGATGAGTTTTACCACCAGTTATCTGTTCTTCTACAGAAAGTGCGTTCGACAGATATTGTAGTACTAGCCGGAGACTTGAATGCTCAGGTCGGGCGTCTAGGCACAGAAGAGAGTCGTTTAGGTGGCCGATGGGGACTTGTTGGTCGCAGGACAGATAACGGGGACCGTCTACTGCAACTTTGCACAGACCACAACCTGTTTCTGGCTAGCACTAACTTTGGGCACAGTTATCACCGATGTGCCACCTGGCGTCCTCCCTCTGCATCCCAAGCCTGGACTGAGATTGATCACTTCGCGATCAGCTACCGCTGGCGTGGTTGTGTACAAGACTGCTGAGGCAGAAGTCCGCAAGGAACTCCAACTCTTGAAGCGTTACAAATCACCGGGCCCAGATGACTTACCACCGGCTCTTTTTAAAGATGGTGGTGACTTTCTGACTAAGGAATTGACGACGTTGTTCACAAAGGTTTGGGAGCTAGAGAGTGTACCAACGTCATTGAACGAGTCGATAGTTGTCCCTATCTTTAAAAAGGGTTCACGTCGTTCCTGTAACAACTATCGGGGGATAAGTCTACTTCCGATTACGTCCAAGCTATTGGCTCCCGTCATACTTCGTAGGTTGTTCAAAACCGAGAATGATTGACTCGCGAGGAGCAGGCTGGTTTTCGTTCTGGTCAAGGATGTATTGATCATATCTTCACCCTCCGCCAAATGTTAGAACACCGTCATACTTATAAAAGGCCAACAATTGTAGTGTTTCTTGACTTCAGGGCTGCCTTTGATTCGTTGGACAGTACTGTTCTCTGGGATTGTCTATTGAAGAAGAGTGTGCCTGGGAAGTTTATTAACATCTTCGAAGCCTTATATACTAACACCTCAGACAGAGTAAGGGAATACAACCACATCTCTCCATTGTTCCATTCAAGCAGTAGAGTTAGTCAGGGTTGCCTAATCTCACCATCCCTCACCAACTTCGCCATCGACGACGTTCTGGAAACAGCTCTGATGGGTGTAAGTAATGGTGGTGTGGATCTGTTGCCTGGAGAAAGACTTCTCGATCTTGAGCATGTGGATAATGTTATCATGCTGTGCGATGATACCCAAGCCATGCAAACCGCACTTAATCAGTTGGCAATCAGTGTCCGTAGGTACGGTATGTGCTTTGCACCTTCGGAGTGCAAAGTACTTCTACAAGACTGGCAGGATTCTAATCCTGTACTCACCCTGGATGGTGAGCAGATAGAAGTAGTCGAGAAGCTCGTGTATCTAGGTAGCTGCATAAGTGCTGGTGGGGGTGTGATTGATGAGATCAATGCACGAATAGTGAAAGACAGAGCGGCTTATGCCAATCTGGCCCACCATTGGCGCCTTCGTGATGTCAGTGTGGTTGTAAAAGGTCGAATCTACAACGCGTCGTTGAGGGCACTTCTGCTCTATGCTTGTGAAATCTGGTCTCTCCGAGTTGAGGATGTTAGACGACTCTCTGTGTTTGATCATCGTTGTCTCCGAAGGATTGCTGACATCCAGTGGCAACACCATGTTAGTAATGAAGAGGTTCGGCATCGTATGTTCGGGCACAGAGATGATAATGCAATCGATGTCACCATCTTGAAACATCGACTTCGGTGGCTTGGACACGTTCTACGAATGTCATCCCAGAGAATTCCACGTCGTGCATTATTTGCCGACTGTGGGACTGGTTGGAAAAAGTGGAGAGGTGGTCAGTGCATGACATGGTGTCGTGGCATGAAAGAAAGCTGCAAAGGACTGGCTTCTGTTGGTCCTTCAAGACACGCTAGTTGGGGTCCGAGAGATGGTGCTACACAGTGGCTAGAGACGTTATCAGATATGGCTCAGAATAGAAGCCAGTGGCGACCCTGCTGTAACCTTCTTCTACTTTCTTCATAAAAAGTGGTTGTGTCTTCCTTAACTGAAAGATTTCTTCTGACTGTACCTTTCTGTTCCGCCATTTTTACCATTATTATTATTACACCACCTTACATCAATCTCTTTTTTTTCTGCTTCCCCTTAAATTGTCATTGTTTTGTGTGGCGCATATATATTTGGCGCATTCTTGTACCAATATTTATGTGTTCAAATAATAATAATAATAATAATAATAATAATAATAATAATAATAATAATAATAATAGCCACCTGCTCCACCTTCCATCTTTCCTTCAAATCCTTTACCCCCAACCGGTTTGTCTTTATTTCCACGATCATTCCGATTACATTTCATCTCTGTTTCAACATTTTATTTTGTCATTCTGAGCCATCCTTACCCAATGAATACTTAAGCCATTACCTATCAAACTATTATTAAACTTTCCTTGTTTTAAAAAAAAATTTTTAATACCTTTGTTTATTTAACCTCACTGTCACCATGTATAACAAGTTTATTATCAGTATTATTATCACCCTGTAAAAATATGTATATATATTTGCGATTGTACAGCTTTGAAAATGAATTCGCCGAAAAGAGAACTCTTCGCTGAACTAATCTTTCTTTCTTATTTAATTTTTCCTTGAAAGGTAAAACAAACGACCTCCCATATATCTTTTTTTTAATTTAGGGACATAGATTCTGACAACTTTCATTTGCAAACGCTTGTATTAAGTAAACATCAATGTATAGCAGCAACGACGGTAAGACAAAAGCTTATCATCAATAATATACTAAGATAAGATTGATCCCATCTATATTTTAATTCATACAATCTATTTGGAGCGATGACTCAGTGGTCATAGCATATTCCTTTGAACTATTTAATTACTAGCTTAAATTACACTTCGTCTATTTTGAGTCGAACAGTTGGATAATATTACTGCTCGCCACATAAAAAGTTGTCCAAAGCAGAGTATATGATACTTCATTTAACTAGGGCTTATGAATATATCAACGGATACTTAGCCATTTACTGATTTTCTTTTGCTTGTACCGTCAATCACATTACATTTTAACTGCCAAGAGAGACAATGTACCTTATTCGTATTATTACTGATAATTATATTGATACACGGAACCAGTTTACGGCAAGGTCAAACTGAGGTATACAACAATAACTTTGAATTTCATCGAAAAGAATTGGACATGTTTGAAATTCGAAGTCATGGAAACGAAAGGTTACCGTTAATTCCCCATATATAATTACAGTTAATCAGAAACCTCACTAAATCTATTCCCACGTGATACGAGCAGTCGAAAATCTTAAACGTAAGTATAAAGGATCGATTTCCACAAAATCTTAAACCAGACGGGAAAATTACTTTCCTAACAAACAAAATTAACTGTATTTTTCAGTCAACAGGAATTCAAAATATGAGTCAGTATTCCTTTAAACTCTTACATGTAACCTGTGCATATTGACTCAAATGCAATAAATTATCAGAATGCTAAATAAACAACAAGGGTAGTTATGTTAGTGTCGCTGACGCGATAGACTTAAACATATTTTAGTAACAGTTTTTGAATTCAAGCATGATATGCCCATATTCTAACTTGTCCGAGTAGAACATCATATTATGAACACGGAAATTTTTACTTACTTTTACATATTGGATCAATCAATCCAAATAAATATTCCCAATTGTATTTAAATATATTACAGGAATACCATGTCATAAACATTGACCTGAACTGTGTCTCAAATGATTCTGGATTAAGTAAAATATTCACAACAGACCGATCTGTGTTATCATGAACAACATTACAATCACTAGTAACATTACTGGGATTTCTACATATTACGTCGTAAAATACTTCTGACTGCTTTACACACAACTGAAGATTATTCCACCCTTGTTGTGTAAATATACCATTTACAGAACTACATTGTTGGTCAAAACCTTTTGAAGAACGAGTTAACGCTGCTTTCATAGCTAGCTGCTGGTGTTTACTAATTATGCAGTGAACGAATAACTGACACAATAAACGATCAACAATCCATGGAATTTTGTCCATATCTGATTCAGATGAAGGTGAAGTATCCAGATATTTAGTGGCTGGCAACTGTGAATGATATGCTGGATAGCCTAGATGTGATAATTTATACAGTAAACCTTTCATAGTGAATTCGGCATGATCACGTAATAATGTATAGCAGATATTAACTGGACGCCCTAAAAAGTAAATTTTGGAAAGGTATTAAGTGACAAACACTGATTTAAAGTCGAATGTATCTTTACAAATATGTTTAACTCAACAAAACAGTCAATAACCTAACTGATTTGACAAGCGGATCACTAACCGCAATGAATAATCAAAGTTGATGGATTATCAGAAATAAAATTATGGAGATTCCATCAAAGTGAAGTGAGCCCTTTATGTGATTAGTCCGTGAAGAAGTTTTAGACAACATTAATTGTTTGAAGAGGTTTCAGATAACCTGATGTTATACATACACCGGACACCTAAACATTTCAGGTTGGAGAGTAGAGAGTTATGAAAAACAAAATAGCTATCCAGTGCTCTTTGATTTCTTGTTTCTCTAAATTAAATCAATCACTACTCACAAAACACTAAGTGGACATAACGAAGTAATGTGTGATTTCAGTATATATTCCGTAACAAGACAATTCTGGGATCGATTTGTATGATTGATGAAAGTTATAAATATTAGGAAAACCGTTTATTTTTTCTACCTTTTGGGACAATCTAAACGAATGACCAGTTGTTTCAAGTTCTATATTGATCATTAGGTAAAAATATGAACAGCTCCGATTCTAACTAAACATAACAATTATAGACAAACGGGTAAATATTTGCAACAAACTTCAGCTGTATTTAGAAAAAAAAGACTATATGCTTCAGTCAAGAAAACAATACCGTATACTACAGTGAAAACTTACTTTTTTTTATAATACCTCACACATTTTCAGCTAGTTTCAAAAATAGATCAGTCAGCCAGTCAGCAACACCACAGAACTTCGTACGCACGTACATCAGTTCAAGTTGCCATATCACAATAGCATAAAAATGCAGTTTTCGATTCAAATCCCGTAGTGGTAGAGGTAATAAGAGTATAAGCAGTGATCGGAAACATTAGGATTTGAAGATGTTATTCAAGAAGTATGATCCAGTGAAATAAATTTGTAAAGAGAAAAAAGAAACGGACATGAAGAATTCAGAAGATTAGAATTTGGGAGAACACAAACAGTGGATGCACCTGCGCTATTGCAAACGATTTTGGGCCATGTCAATCAGCGTCTATAACCATCGGTTTTTATCATCTCGCAGTCCAAAACCAGGTAATCTGCATCTACCAGCATGGCTCAGTCCATTTGTCAGTGTCAAAAAGTTAATCACCCTGTAGAAGTTCAACCCCTGGAAATTTAGATGAGATTGTTATCTCTAAAAGTACGTCGACCACAAAGTTGAACAAGAATGGGGAGAGTGGACAGCCCTGACGAACACCACTTGAGGTAATCAATTCTGATGACAGTTCGCCATAAGCTCTCACTCTACCAGTTGTGTTCGAGTAGAGAGCCTTTACAAGGTTAATGTACTTCTTTGGTACTCCTTTCAGTGACAAACACTGCCATAGAACCTTACGATCAACAGAGTCAAATGCCGCCTTAAGGTCGAGAAATACTGCCATTGTGGGGCGTCTGAATGTGTGTCTGTGTTCTAGAACCTGACGTAGTGTGAATATCTGATCTATACAACCACGTTCAGGTCGAAAACCAGCCTGATTTTCTCTAGTCTGCTCTTCACGAGCTTTGATTAGGCGTCGAAGTATTATTGAAGCTAATATTTTAGACACTATATTAGTCAAACTGATTCCTCTGTGATTGTCACAAGAGAACTTTTGTCCTTTCTTATAGACTGGCACAATCAGTGATTGAGACCAGTCAGATGGGATTACGTCCAGTTCCCAAATTCTACCTAAGATCTCAGTTAATCTCACTGCTAATACTGTACCACCATCCTTAAAAATCTCAGGAGTAAACCTGTCAGGGCCTGCTGCTCTCCCCCCACTTCAGATTTCCTATGGCTTTTTCAACTTCGTAAAGAGTCGGAGGACCTACAATAACTTGCCATTCAAGTTGACTGGAGATCGTGGGAAACCGAAGTGTGGATGAAGGCCAGTTCATCCGATCCCTAAAGTGTTCTGCCCATCGATCAAATCTCCTGGATTGAGAATGAATAATATGTCCATCTTTCTCTGAGATAAATTCGCTAACAGTTGGGTTCCTAATACCGGTTTCCATAACAAGTCTGAACAGCTGTCTGTTGTTACCTATTGCCGCTGACTTTTCTATTTCTCTTGCTTTCGCTACTCACCACTGTTCACGATCATTGCGTATGCTTCTTGTCAGCTTGCGCCTAAGCTGACTCCGCTCTTCATCATGTTCAGAATCAGATGGAATGAGTTTTCGAGCATCTATCAGTGAGTTAGAAGTTAGTCGTGGAGATAAGACAGTTATTAGTAGGTGTAGGAAGGATTTGAATGTGACCAACTTGGTCTCGTGTGTTGTTACGGGTAGGAGGGCTGATTTCACTTCCTGGTTACCCACGCCGTGGAAGGTCCTCCGTCCCTTTACGAAGTTGAAAAAGCCATAGGAAATCTGAAACGAGGGAGAGCAGCAGGCCCTGACAGGTTTACTCCTGAGATTTTTAAGGATGGTGGTCCAGTATTAGCAATGAGATTAACCGAGGTCATAGGTAGAATTTGGGAACTGGACGTAATCCCATCTGACTGGTCTCAATCACTGATTGTGCCAGTCTATAAGAAAGGACAAAAGTCCTCTTGTGACAATCACAGAGGAATCAGTTTGACTAATATAGTGTCTAAAATATTAGCTTCAATAATACTTCGACGCCTAATCAAAGCTCGTGAAGAGCAGACTAGAGAAAACCAGGCTGGTTTTCGACCTGGACGTGGTTGTATAGATCAGATATTCACACTACGTCAGGTTCTAGAACACAGACACACATTCAGACGCCCCACAATGGTAGTATTTCTCGACCTTAAGGCGGCATTCGACTCTGTTGATCGTGAGGTTCTATGGCAGTGTTTGTCACTGAAAGGAGTACCAAAGAAGTACATTAACCTTATAAAGGCTCTCTACTCGAACACAACTGGTAGAGTGAGAGCTTATGGCGAACTGTCATCAGAATTGATTACCTCAAGTGGTGTTCGTCAGGGCTGTCCACTCTCCCCATTCTTGTTCAACTTTGTGGTCGACGTACTTTTAGAGATAACACTCTCCTCATCTAAATTTCCAGGGGTTGAACTTCTACCGGGAGGTTCACTTGTTGACTTAGAATATGCAGATGACATAGTTTTATTTGGTGAAGACGCTGACAAAATGCAGAGTCTTCTGACCACTCTAAGCAACAATGCAAGCATGTTCGGGATGCGATTCTCTCCCTCGAAATGCAAAATGTTGCTTCAGGATTGGGTTACATCGACACCCGAACTAGTGATAGGGAGTGAAGTAGTTGAGCATGTCGACCGCTTCACTTATCTTGGAAGTCTCATCAGCCCTTGTGGTTTGGTGTGTGACGAAATCTCAGCACGGATACAGAAGGCTCGACTAGCTTTTGCCAACTTGCGTCATTTATGGCGTAGGCGAGATATCCGTCTATCAACCAAAGGACGTGTTTACTGCGCAGCAGTTCGTTCCGTCCTACTTTATGGCAGTGAAACATGGCCGGTAAGAGTAGAGGATATCCGTAGGTTACTAGTATTTGATCATAGGTGTCTTCGAAACATTGCTCGTATATCATGGGACCATCGAGTAAGTAACACAGTTGTTAGGAAACGGGTACTAGGTAAGGATGGCAAATCAATTGATGAAGTAGTGAAACTTCATCAGTTGAGATGGCTTGGACACGTGTTACGTATGCCCAACGACCGACTGCCTCGACGTGCTATGTTCAGTGGTATAGGAGTAGGTTGGAAGAAAGCTAGGGGCGGCCAAACCAAAACATGGCACAAGTCCATGAAGTCACTGACAAGTGAACTGAGTCATGTTGGTAGGTGTAGACTACCTGGTTGGGGACCGCGAGATGATAGCAACCGATGGTTAGAGACCCTGAATGACATGGCTCAAAATCGTTTGCAATGGCGCAGGTGCATCCACTCTCTGTGTTCTCCCAAATTCTAATCTTCTGAATTCTTCATGTCCCTTTTTTCCTCTTTCCAAATTTATTTCACTGGATTATACTCTTTAAATAACATCTCCAAACCCTAATCTTCCCGATTACTGCTTATACTCTTATTACCTCTACCACTACGGGATTTGAATCGACAACTGCATCTCTGTGCTAATGTGGTGTGGCAACTCGAACTGATGTACGTACGTACGAAGTTCTACATTGTTACTGACTGACTGACTGACGCCGTGGAAGGGTACTTCTTGAGAAACCTGAAAAGGAAGTCGGATTATTGTTGGTCTTAACGATCTGGGAGCGTGACTGCAGAGCCCAAGGGACGATTGTTTGGGACCGGTCGAGCACGGTCTTTTCGTGGGAGGTGTTAGCTCCGTTTTTCAAAAGGCCTTACCGCCGGAGACGGAAACCTGTGAGGTAAGGTGAGGTGTGGCATTTTTAGGGTCAACCTTTTCTAACCCCTTCCTTCCTTGTGAGAAGGCAGCATCGCTGCAGATACTGTTTATCCGAGGGAAACACCTTACTGCTGTCACACCCCTCTACAGTCAGCAGTACGACTTCGTCCTCAGACCTTGAGTTGCTTTTAGTCTTACCGTTCTCTAATCAATATGCCTGGCATGGTAGAACCTAAAGGAGCGTATGCTCCAGTCAATATATCTCGGGTGGGTCATCATAATAGGCAAGTCCGACCACCGCTTCAAGGTAGCAGCTACGATCGTGTTCTAAAATAGAAATCAGGTGACAACTAAAGCATTTTTCTTCTTAACACCTTTTATAACCTTTATCTAATTGTGGAGGACAGACTTATTTTGTACATGGTGTTGCATATCTTGGAAATTTTATATCTGGAACAAATTCTATGCTGTCATCAAGCAGAGAATTTGTCCCTGTTTATTTCATGTGTTGTTGTTTAACTATCTATTTTTGAATGCATAGTTACAGATATGAAATTTCCAAGATATGCAAAAGCATGTACAAAATATGTCTGTCCTCCACAATTAGATGAAAGTCATATAAGGTGTTAAGAAAAATATGCTTCAGTTGTCACCTGATTTCCCTTTCAAAAGAGAGTTGAATCACACGATACAGAATTTCTTGTTTAACAAGCTGTCTTTCTTGATATAATAAACGTTAAAAATCAAATCTTCTGAAGCTACAATAAGTAGACTTATCTCAATGGCCTTCAGAAACAAATAAATTCATTGTGTTTAACAAGCTCATTGATTCTTTAAAAAGCCCCCCCCTCCGGGGCAACTGCCGGTCTCAAGCCCGGATAAAGGAGGAGGGTTGGGCATGGAGTTAGCGACCCCATACCGTAGAAAACTAACTCGCAAAAAATACGCTACCCAGAAATAATAATTCAAAACATTTAAACTCTGAGCTGGAAGTTGAAAGGCCTTCATTTAGAACAGCTATGACGCCTCATGGTGAAAGCCCAGTTCCTACGGAGGTCAAGACGCTGATATCCATTCTGACAACCAAAGTAAACATTGATGATCGTGCAATGTGGGAGACGGGAAGAAAATGCCCAACATACACAAGGAGTTACAGTGATGCTATCCAAACAAGCACAAAATGCACTTATAGAATGGGAATCTCATGGACCAAGGATCATCAAAGCCTCCTTCAAAACAAAGAAAGAGGGCATTACAATGAATGCCATCCAATGCTATACGCCTACCAACGACTACAATGAAGACGCTAAAGATCGATTCTACAACAGGCTGCAGTAAATCGCCGAGAATCGCCCAACAAAGGACTTGACCATTCTGATAGGAGACCTAAATGTCAAGGTTAGAATGGACAACACCGGATACAAAGACATGGGACGACACGGACTGGAAGAATGAAACGAAAATGGTGAGAGATTTGCAAACCTATGTGCCTTCAATAAACTGGTCATAGGCGGCACCATATTCCCACACAAACGCATACACAAAACCACATGGACTGCACTGAATCACATTACACAGAACAAAATCGACCATATCTGCATCAACAAAAAGTTCAGAAGGACGATGGAAGATGTGAGAACCAAGAGGTAAGCTGATATAGCATCAGATCATCACTTGCTGCTCGCCAAGATGAAATTGAAACTCAAGAAGCACTGGACAACGGGGTGGACAGCATCACGAAAGTTTAATACGGCCTTTCTTCGGAATAGTAACAAACTCAACGAATTCAAGATAGCGCTCAGCAATAGGTTCCAGGCCTTTCACGATCTACTCAATGGAGAGCGAACTATTATGGAGAGCAACTGGAAAGGGATAAAGGAGGCAATCACTTCAACATGTCGTGAGGTTCTGGGCCACAAGAAGCACCATCACAAGGAATGGATCACTGTTGATACACTGGATATGATTCAAGAGAGGAGGAACAAGAAGGCAGCAATCAATACCAGCCGAACAAGAACAGAGAAAGCCAAAGCACAAGTTGAACACACAGAAGTAAATAAGCAAGTGAAGAGGAGCATTAGAACTGACAAACGTAAATATGTGGGAGATCTAGCAACGACGGTGGAAAAGCCTGCAAGAGAAGGAAACATGAGAGAACTGTATGACATAACAAAGAAACTCTATGGAAATCACCGTAAACCAGAACGACCAGTGAAAGGCAGGGTAATCACCAACATTGGAGAACAACAAAACTGGTGGTTAGAACACTCCAAGGAACTCAAATCGACCAGCCCCACTGGACACACCCAACATCGAAGCAGCACCCACGGACCTCCCAATCACTGTTGGCCCACCAGCAATCGAAGAAATCAGCATGGCCATCAGACAAATTTGGGATGAAGAATAAGTACCAACAGACTGGAAAGAAGGACTTCTGGTCAAGATACCAAAGAAAGGCGATCTCAGCAACTGTGATAACTACAGCGGCATCACTCTTCTCACAATACCAGGAAAAGTCTTCAACAGGGTGTTGTTAAACTCCATAGACCAACAAGCTGGATTCCGTAAGGATCGATCGTGTACAAACCAAGTTGCAACTCTACGGATCATTGTGAAACAATTAATTGAATCGAATTCATCACTCTACATCAACTTCATTGACTACTAGAAAGCATTCGATGGTGTAGAGAGGACAAAACTATGGAGGCTTATTTGACACTAAGGAGTGCCTCAGAAGATAGTCAATATCACACAGAATCCCAATGATGGACTAAACTGCAAAATCCTGCATGGATGACAGTTGACAAACTCGTTCGAAGTAAAGACCGGTGTCAGGCAAGGTTAATTACTCTCACACTTCCTCTTTCTCCTGGTGATCGACTGGATCATAAAGACGTCAACATCTGTGGGGAAGCATGGGTTACAGTCGACATTTAGGATGCAGCTGGACGATCTAGACTTCGCAGATGACTTGGCTCTTCTATCACACACGCAACAACAAATGCAGAAGACGACCAGTGTAGCAGCAGAGGTCTTAACGTACACAAAGGGAAAAGGAAGATTCTCTGGTACAACACAGCATGCACCAATCCAATCACAATTGAAGGAGAAGCTTTGGAGGATGTAAAAACCTTATTTATCTGGATATTATGGGAAAAATTAGTGAAACATAATTGGTTATTAAGTCGAAAAGTATAGATTTAGTTTTTCTCTAAAAAATGTTAACTTACTGTGATAACGAAACAAAGGAGCAATGGCTCGGCAAAATGGTATCAATAGAACAAATGGCACTTCACACATTAAGAACTGCATTATTACAACTTCTAACAATGGTAATAAACGTAATAACAAGTGACCATAGAATACAGGTAAATAAGGAGGTTTGTCGGTTTCATCTGATGGATCGTTACTAGTATTAGAAGATATTGTACAAGTTTTTGGATACGTAATCCATTGATCAGGAATAATTTCATGCAAAGCACGAATACACGAAAACCAATCCCGACTAGACAATGGGTCAGAATGAGGTGATTTTCTCAGTGTATTTGAATCGCTATTAATGGGATTAGCCTACATTGAAAATAAAAGAAATGTTGAAAATAGTTTTAACAATTTAAAATATGTACATACAAGCGAGACTTCATTTTTAACATCCACAAATACAAATGTAAATAGTATAAATAAAGTTGGGCAAAATTTCGCTTGTAAATATAGAACTTTAGTAAGTACGATTAACAGTCTAAAATCGTTTAATGCACACTTAACATTTGTATTATTTTACAAGTATCTCACATAGTGTATGATGTAAAGACCATCTAATAATAACGGTAGATTTATCAAAAAACCAAGTACTTATAGGAACAATAAACAACAGCCCCAAATGCCCTGGTACAGTCGAGGGTGAGGAGAGTTAGCTCTCCCTCTCGAAATGCTCTCACATGGCCACGTATATACAGCCACTGCCAGGGAAGTCCTACTCACTGCCTTCTCGTAGCGGGGCTGTTGTTTACGAAATTGAGAGGACGAAAAGCGAATGTCCGGCGCTTTAACGGGTTTGATGGATGTGGAGGATCCACCTAGGGAGTTGGAAAACCCTCATTCAAAACCAATGGTGCACATGGGCTCCAGTATCCTGAGGGAAAAAATGACGTATGAACCAACTATTGGTCACCGGCTACCATGGGACTGCATCTCCTCATGATGCTCCCTGTCTTGTGGATTAGATCATTAGGTCAAAGGCTCAGTATGTGGCCCCCTAAGAAGACCACCTGCTTCGGTTTGATAACCCGGACAGCACCACAGTCCACACACAAATCAAGTGACTCGTGTGACGCATATGTATTCGGTACCCCTTTGTACCAATATTTATGTGTTCAAATAAATGAATAAATACTTATACAATGACATTATAATTCAGAACATAATAAAAGTAGAGCAAAATTTTCTCAAAATCATGTATAATTTGACATCATTCCATACAAACCCCTCCATATGTGCTCCAACAGATACACTACCTGAAATCCTAGCTTCTTTTTCCGCCCTGAATAACAATAACATTTCATTTAATTCGTGATAAACAAAACTGATCTCTATAAGATCACATGTGGATGTAAATAAGTAGATTGTCAGCAGAGTGATCATAATAGCAACAAAGTATTGAGCGAAAAATATAAATGAATCTATTAGTTTATGAACTCGTATCGAACAAATTAATGGAACTAAATAACTGTTTCTACTAATCAGCTTCATACTAGGCACAGTTAAGTAGCGCGGATGAAGTTTAAGCATAATAATTCAGTAATAAGGTATAAATCGTTATGAAATGATTAAGCGACTAATCATTAGTCTGATCTGTTCTTTAGATTGGGCAGTGAGAAACACTGATACGGAAACAACATACATCAAAACAAATAAAAACTTTTCATAGAAAAAAGAATGACCTCATATTTTTTATCCATATAGTTTATCCCATTAGTGATTTGCTCCGATTGTGTAAACAGATAAACAATGATTCGATTTACAGTAAAGAGTTGTGAATGTTGGTATCTTGTATGCATGAGCTATTGGAAATTGAAAGGAAGAAAGAAAGAAATGTTATGACTATATTTTTATCAAAGAAATTATACATTTTAAACATAAATCTCCATAGAAAAATTATTTACTTACAATCTAGTTATAATGGCGGTTATCAAATTATGCTTTTTAGGCGATAATGATGATTCAGTCATTGAAAAAACCGTCTTTTCCAGATTGGCCATAAATCAATCAGCCAAGAGAGGGTCCAGTGGAAACTCCATCAGTTTGTCTATAGAGATCATTGTTACACTTGAATTGCACATTTAGATCTCAAGTAAGACGAACGATGAGTTTATTACCAATTGTGACCTCTACAAACATCTCAGACCATCTGGTTCTGCTATACCAAGACTATACGGACTATCAAAAGTTTATAAAAATGATGTTTCCCTACGTCCCATACTTGATACGAATAACTCTCCATATCATTTGATTGGTAAATGATTAGATGGAATTTTACAAGCTGCCAGAAATCACATTAAATATATACAACTCTCTTGATTCATTTTGTTAATTCAATTAGAAATATCAATATAAATGGTAGCAAAAATGATCTCATTGGATGTCACTACACCCTTTACGAATGGTCCACTAATAGAAACTATGTTTTTTTATGTGACTATATTGAAAATAACAACTTTGATATTTGTATCCCAAAACTTCATCTAAAAAAGCTACTTCTAACTTGTACTGTCAATGTATAATTCAGATTTAGTGATTTCCATTTGAAAAAAACTGATGAAGTTTACTCACAAGTCAGTCATTAAAATATTCGAATGCCATTTCACTTTCATTACCAAGTATTTCTCATTACTTTCATGGAAAACAAATGACTTCTGACTTCAAATATAATGTGTCCAGTAACGAGTCTTCAGACTCTACCTCACTTACTAATCAAAACACCATCAGTAGAAGTGGAACAAAATCCTGGTCTAGAGTAAGGTACAAACAATGCTAACACTCTTCCAATACAAAAAACACTAATAAACTAGAAATATAGAATAAGTCGAACATTTGATTCAACAACAGTGCAATGTCGGATGTGCTTTACAACCGAATATAGTAATTTTAAACGCCAATCAATGGTAGAATCATATTAATAGGAGTAGTAAACTTTGGATTTAATTGAAAACGAAAAATATTTCAAGTAATTATAGGTCGATTAGTGAAATGAATAAATTTGGCTCCAACCAAATGCTATTTCGAATTCAATTATCACATATCACTTATACAAAATAAGAAGATATATATAAATTGTTTCATAAACAGCAAACGGTGACAGATTTGCAACGTATCAATTGTTCCTTGAAATGAGCAACGAAAACTGGTCAAACTGACGCACCCGACTAAGTAATCTGCACAGTTCAGCTTGTTTCACTCACTAACGATGGATTAAATACCTGAGTCCGATTTTATTTACTAATTATATAAAGACTATGAGTAAAATTCACACATGGTCAATTTTCTACGACAAATTTCTCAAAAACCTATAGTTAATGAGTGAATTATCTCGTATTTTTCATACAACCAAAACACTGATTAATAAAGGAACACCAACACTTTCATTTAGTAGTATTGAAAAAAGCAATCCTAATAATTCCTTCTGCCACAAGAGCTTAAATATAATGGATCAAAATCACAAAAAAGCTTACCAAGAACAATAGAAATCGATCTAACGAAACAACACGCCAACGTACACAGAAATCTGACAATGTCGAAAGACACTATAACAGAGAAACAAACATGAACGTTTAACTTCTAAAGTGGAAAATCAGCAAATAAATAGTAAAGGGAGTTAAATACATAGATAAATTATCGAGGCATCAGAACATCATGAACAAAGCTTTATTTAGTTTATTTGGAACTGATAAGTAGTGTCTTTAGTCCACAGACAAACAAATCAGTAACTTTTTATCAAATGTATTCTTAAAATAAAGATAGCTTTCTAGTGAACACATGCAAAACAGATGAAACGATAGTAAACATCTGTAAAAGTTATTTCAGCATTTGGTTTATCCTCGATTGATTGTAATACGTGAAAGAAACGACTGATTATGTTGGAGAAAACGTCGTTCAAATGAGAATTATTCCAAATATCTAGTTGAATTGAACTTGGTCAACAAAAAGACAACAGATAGAATATATGTAAGAACAAAGAAATTATGGAATATACAAAAAATAGAAATTTCGTTTTAAGTAAGCAAGAACAATTATTTCACAAACTATGAAACTCCAATTAATTTAACTAACCTTCTCAGTTGTAAAATTTACTTGTGCAGTGAATGTCAAAGAAGACACTATGTAATCACAAAGCATACGAAGTTGTCGATTGAGAAATTTGGCAGACATATGGTGTAAAAGACTAATTAAAATAAACAGAAACAGAGTTTAAAATAGCTAAGTAGCTTGTAAGCATTCAATAATATATTTATATATATACATCAGTTTTCAGAACATAATAGTTGAATAGCACGCAGATATTATCCAAGTTGATACGCGGATTTTGCGAACCATATCAAAACATCTTGAATACTAAATGAGAATCTGGTTAACTTTTGGTCGAACTCACCAACTGCATAGTATATTTTGATGCTTTGTGGAACAGTCAATATCATGGACCACAACTGGTGTGCTTAGCCACTGAATTAAAGTTATTTGCGTGGGTGACTAATTAATTACCTACGAAAAAATTCAACCTAATCGACTCAGTAAATTTATAGTGTGAAATGCAATAAACCGGTTGAGAGTAGCAAGCTATCATAGGTGTAGTTACCATTTCTAATGTAGATAGAAAATACAGCATAGAATATAAAACATCTACATGCCTGTCATAAACTCGTCAAACCATTTACAACTCTATATATACCTTCATTGAACCAAATAATTGAAATAAAGTGATTGAAACAGATATTTTATAAGAAATCAACAAGGTAACTTAAGATTCAAAATCTACTACAAATAACCAACTAACCTGATTGGTTTGTTCGGTATATTTTGATATTCCATAAAATACCGAAACAATAAACTACATATCAATAGAAAAAGAAAAACAACAAAGTTTTAAATCGCGAAGAGGAAAGAAACAAAGAAATTCATGTGATATAATGTTAGTAGAAAGATATACATAAAAAATGTATGACGAGCAACTTGGACAATAACAATCATACTTCAAAAGAGAGTGGTTCCAGTATTCAACTGCTGAGACGTATGATTTATCTCAGCTTTATGCGGATAGCCAGACAGACCTCATGCGAAAAAAAATAAATGAAAACCATAAGAATAAATCTGTATTTGATTATTGAGTAACATTAAACGAGCCAATAAAACTACAAGAGGCTACAAAGAACGATATATCAACAACATTCCAGCCTGCTCACTCCAAAGAACGGAGATCTGAACAAATGTGAGGACTAAAGAGCATTACACTACTGTCAGTACTAGTAAAGGTTTTCAACAAAGTGTTGCTGAATAGGATGAAAGATTCAGTAGACAACCAACGTTAAAATCAACAGGCTGAATTCAGTAACGATAGGTCGTGCACAAACCAAGCTGTAACACTACGGTTCATCGTTGAACAATCGATTGAATGGAACTTGTCACTATGTATCAACTACCTTGACTATGAGAAGGCGTTTGGCAGCATGGATAGGAGGACCTTATGGAACCTTCTTCGACACTATGGTGTACTTGACAAGATCGTTACTATATGACGGGATTCTTACGACAGACTACACTCTAAAGTCGTGAATGGAGAACGGCTGGTAGATTCATTCCAAGTGAAGACCGGTGTTAGACAAGGCTGTTTATTCTCCCCTTTTCTCTTTCTTCCAGTGGCAGGCTAGATTAGGAAGACCTCCACATCTCAGGAAAAGCACAGAATACAATGAACAGCTTGCATACAAATAGACGATTTAGACTTCACAGACGACCTAGCTCTTCTATACCATAAACATCAGCAAATGAAGGTCAAGACAAACAATGTAGCAGCAGCCTCTATATCAGTAGGCCTCAACATACACAACGGAAAACGCAAGATCCTCAAATACAACACAGTGAACACCAACTCAATCACACTTGATCGAGAAGCTCTGGAAAATACGGAATCTTCCACGTACCTGGACCTGGACAGCATTATCTATGAACAAGGAGGATCTGATGCAGACGTAAGGGCAAGGATTGACAAAGCAATGATAGCATTCCCACAATTGAAGAACATGTGCAACTCAAAACAACAGTAAGCCAGTGTCAATGTCACAATCTTCAATACGAATGTCAAGACAGTTCTATTGTACAGAGCTGAAACTCGGAGAACTACTACAACCATCATCGAAACAAAGCACAGATATTTACAAACAATTGACTACGCAGGATACCTAATGTCCGTTTGCCGGATACCATCAGCAACAGCCTACTGTGGGAGAGAATAAACCAGCTTCCAACTGAGGAGGAAACTAGGAAAAGACATTGGAAGTGGATAGGACACACATTGAGGAAATCATCAAACTGCATCACGAGGCAAGCGCTAACTTGGGTTCCTAAAGGGAAACGGATAAGAGGAAGGTAAAAGAACACGCTGAGCGAAGAATCGGAAACAGACATGAAATGGATGAATAGCAGCTGGAAAGGATTGCTCAGGAAAGAGTTGGATGAAGAATTATATTTCAGTAGTCTACACACAAGCATTGAAGAAACAATTTTACAATCCGAGTTGTGTTTTACATCTATTATGTGCAGACAAATACCAACAATGACTAATCAAATGATTAAATAAAAAAGTCCGAATGAACAATAGAGCAAATACCTAAAAGCTACGTTACATGTAGAACAGTTATTCATTCCTGTTTTATTTATTTTAAAACATAGATATTGGTACATGGAGTTGTAGTGTCAGTTACTATGTTAAGCCCATATACCTTATTCTAGCTTTCGGACATCCCATTTTATTCATTCTACTCGAGCCATACTTTGACCTTGTCAATTATTCACTTATCAGTCTTGACTGTTTTTATATATGAGCGTATATGTGTGTACACTTCATACCCCATGACTCATCACATGTTTGTAGTTTATTTTTGTCTGACTATATATATTGAGTAACGCTTGACTAAAATGGAGTTGGCTTCCCAGCCATTTTCCATACGTGTCATTTTGCTTTGCTATGTTTCATTCGCTCCATGTACGAAATATATGTATTATTCTCAAGTCAATTCTCGTTATTCGACTTATTTAATTCCGTTATTGGATAATGCGATTTAAGTCGACCATGATATACGAGAATAGGTGATAGCAAACATTCGTACGCTCTAAATGGAGTCGAGAACTACGGGCCACCAAAAATGGTGAGCCCTTCAACGAACATCTTCCGATCTAAACTAGGACAAAATCAAGATGAAAGGTCTCTAAAGAGTCACCAAATACATATGCACAACACAAATCTCATTCGATATGTGTGAGGGCTGTGATACTGCCCGGGTGCCCAAACCGAAGCAGGTAGTTTTCTTAGGAGGCCAAACCCCGAGCCTTTGACATAAAGGTCTGACCTACAAGGCAGTGGAGCATCGTGAGGAGATGCAGTCCCATAGAAGTCGGTGACCAACGATTGGTTCATACGTCATTTGTTCCCTCAGGATACTGGAGCCAATGTGCACCATTGGTTTGGAATCCGGTTGAAGCGCCGGACACCCGCTTTTCGTCCTCTCATTTTCGTAAACAACAGCCCCGCCACGAGAAGGCAATGAGTAGGACTTCCCTGGCAGAGGCTGTATACGCGTGGCCATGTGAGAGCATTTCGAGAGGGAGAGCGGACTGTCCCCACTCTCGGCCGTATTAGGGCATTTGGGGGCAAGAATAATGAACGTCACAGAGTAATATGAATCTATTTATTTATACTGTTACTAGTGTTTTCAGGTTGTAAGTATTCGGTAATAATCCATTAAATAAATGAATTCCTATTATTCTGCCATGTTCGTTGTTCTTGCCTTATTCAAATTTTAAAGTAAGAAAAGTTGCAGGATATCACATTTAGTTCAACAGTTAAAAAAGTCAACGAAACTCACCATAAGAACACATTACTCCGACTAACTGTATTGCTCCATTCAAAATTCCCATCTAAAATAAAAATGAAACGAGAACATGAAAGGACATGGAGATTGTCGATGTGTACTTTCTGCACATCTTCTGGTGCCAAAACAATAAGAAATATGATTACCGAAATCATGAAAACAATAGTAGCTATAATCGCTTGATAACCATAAGCAAAGGATAAAAATCTTTCTGTACAAATTTAAGCCCACAGAAATACCAACACTGTACGCTAAAAGTAACCATATAAATTTAATTCGTACTTTGTTAATTTTTCCGGAAATGAATAAGAGTACGGAACTGAAGAAAAATAATAAAATTTATTTAACCAGAGCCAAAGCAACCATGACTTTACGTTCTGAAGAAAAATGGGAGAACAGGTCGAGACATTTGAAATAGATAACTAGAGACTTCTAGAAGTAAAATCGAATGCTGAAGGTCTCATGACTCCAAGCGTATTGTAAACCATGATAACATATACTATTCAGGATGGAGGGTTTGTGAGGATTGGAAATTTCTTAATTTATAAAACTGACTAACAGTATCTAGACAACTACTGAAAACCAAGAAGCACTGGAAATCCGTTCCTACTAGTATTAAACACCTCACTAGTATGGATGCATGACCCCACCTATGATCGACCTAAAACTTTCAGACCTCGTTGTGAGAGCACACTGTTTGAACTGGTGAGTTAGCATCTAGCGGTTTATATTTCAAACTCCAATCAATTTGTGATACTGTCCACCCATCTTCCAAAGCCAAGGTAAATGTCTCATTACGGACGTAGTTGCACTCGATTAATAACGATTACTCATAACAACTGAAATTACCTCTCTCGAGATTAGTGAGCATGATTATTATCGGTAAACAGGATTCTCAAAGATTGTTGAGTTTCCTAGTTCATATCAAGGACTGATCTTAGATAACCAAAACCCACCATGCTAATGATAATCATGTATTCAGTAGTGAATAATTTCAAGAAGTATTTTCAGATGTTAAAGTAAGAAATCGTGACTAGTGGAGTCTAACTTTGTTGGGAGTAATGATATTGGAAGATAGTTGTGCAATATCGTGAAATATTATTAAATATTTGGAAAATCTTCATAATAAACCAACATAAATGTTACACATATATTTTGTCTTTTATTGTATTAAATAAAGTAAGAACTTACTAGAAAAACAAGTGTACTCCTCTTGTACCATTGAACAAAGTTTAGATAAACTAGTAGATTTATCTGTATACGGTAAAGTTGATTCGATTGACTCTACATTCATGGGATCCGATGATGGGAGACTACCAATGTTAAATTCACCTGTGTTTGGATTAGTTAACTGACGTATAACAAGAATTAGAAAATCAGGCAAACGTTTTGTGATTAGCTGAGGTAAATCTATCAGACTATTTGGACCACACTGTTCACACATGGAGCGAATTTGTTCAACTAGATTCGGCCGAATTCCACTTGCTTCTTCCAAATCTAGATTAAAGAGAGGAAATATGGAGGATTGATAAATTGAAGAGGAAACATTCAAAAGCTTTGAATATTAAAATATAATGAAAGAAATCCAAAGCATAGTATTTTTACGGTTAGAATTGATTGGACAGCTGGTTCAGAAACAAAATTGGATAAAACCAGACAGAGGAGCAAGGGACTACCACTTAATTCAACTTCCAGTACACGCACGATAAAATATTATTTGGACCTCACACGGCAAGTGGTTAACGGACAGTTTAAGGCCAACAAAGAGTAGGTGAAACCAAAGATGATACGTGAAACTTTCTCCATCAAACGACTTCAATTGTTTGAATGGTTCTAAGACAACGAATCTACATGTTTTGCATGGTTTAAAAGAGAAATCGAAAGCTTCAATGTTTGTTGTCTGGGTCTAACTAAAAGAATGGATCAATCATTCCATGCTTACTTTAGGTAACATGGAAATGGGGGGCGGATGTTGATTCAATATAAGAAACACATAAATCTAAGAAACTAATCAATGTAAGTCACGCAGCTGTTGAGAGACTTATCACCACCATCGAAAACATTTGCTTTAAGTTAGCCTTGGTATATCTTGAGCAGAACTAGTGTACTCGACCATCATCAAGCTTGGACGTTACAATCAATTTTAATCAATATAAAGAAGACAATCTGTGGTGTATTATGTAGTAAGTTAAAATTAAATGATACTCAATTACTTAACAAGATTTGAAACAGCTTAGTACAACAAATAATCCCATTTGAAATATACATAAATATGGTATTTACGAGTGGTCCAAATAATGGCACCACAATAAAATAAAACTTTATGTTGATTTACTCACCAAACGTATGATACATTTGTAATAAGGAGTATAGTACAAACCGATTAACTTCAACATTATCACACATTAAGAATGGGTAACCAGGTATTGAATTCGGAAAACTCGCACTTCCTGATCCACTTGTAAGTGAATTCACACCCGTATTCGAGGATAATATAGGATCAATCGGTGGTTGTATAATACTAGAAGATGGAATCGAAGTCGGTACGCCTGTATTTACAGGTATAAATGGTCGATTAATTGGAACAGAGCCACCAGTTGTGTTATTCATCAAACCACTGCCCTGTTGTGATATTATGTTCGAATTTTGTGGTTGCGATACACACGCAGAATTATTAACAGAGTGTAAACTGTTAGTTCCCGGCTGCGTTTGAGTAAGAGTAGAAGAGGTAAGAGCTGAACAAAACCCATAAATTACACAATCTGGTGCTTGTATGCTACGCACAAATTTTATGATGTTCCAATCCAATCTAAATAAAACAAAGTGTTTCGACTCAAATATTCAAAATACATTAATGTTAATAACGTGCGCTAATAAAACATCAATTACTTTACACTGTTGGATGTAAAGGTATGGGAAGAGTATATTAAAAAACAGATTAGTCATAAAAGTGAGATGTTTAACGAGAATTCAAAAGAGGGGACTAATTTATTCTATTTCCCACGGGGAATATTACCAACACAGGTATCAATGGGCTAATACTATAGTGACGCCTAACTGCAATAAATCGTTTGTTTCTTCCCATTCCAATTAACTATTAGGATCCATAAATTTGATTTATCTTTAAAAATGTTTATTTCTGTATCTAAATGCGATATTAAGCGCGAAGCTGTTATATTTCTCATAGAAAAATAATCTGCCCATAACTGAAATATATAAAAACGTAGTCAGTATTGTTGAAGTTCACGAGTTTCCTGTACCTTTTCCCACCAAATGGTTACACAGAATAGGACTAATAAACAAATTTCAACAAGGTGAAAATTGACGATCTACATCTAAAAAGTATTAGCAAAGTGAGCTACATTTATGTAGGATAACACTACTTCCTTCTAGACAAGCAAGAGATGACGTAGAGAACAGCACAAATCAATATATTCAATCATCGTAGGTTTAAAAACGTCTTTTTAACTGATATGACGAAGCTGAAATTAAGGTCGATAATTACTTTTTGATTTCATTGGTGTGAGTGACTACGAAAACTTATATCTTTCAATGATTTATTTGTTAACTGACATGTGATTATGATGACTTTTGTTTCTAATATTTGTATGCACACCCGTTATGTTGCTATGATAATAAGCCAACCAAATGGTCAGTAGTCTTATCTTTTAAGAACAGTTCCTCAGGGGCTTGCATCAACAATTTAATATCGCGAGCAATTATTAGCCGGCTACGTATTATTGCATCTATTTAAAACAATTCGGATCCCGTTCATTATCACAAATCATAATAACCAAATCCATAACATAAGTACACTAGAAACACTTGTAGCACAGCTCTTCGTTGTAAAAGATGTACATAGGAAATAAAAGTATAACTTCATGGGATTACACCATTTATGCTATTATGGATTTTTCGCTTTTACCAATAGTATTCAATCTAAGATTGTATTGAGATTCAAATCTAGGAAACATTATACAATCTTAGTCATCTAGTCTATGAGTTGTGAAGTAAGCTAAAGTAGGTACATAAACCTTTTCGTCCCGTTAAAGGTTTATCAAAAGTTGAGTTGAACAAGATATACAGCGTTAAGTCAGTTATGTACGAAAATAAACAAATTAATTAAGAAAAATAAATATCCTTACTCTGAATGCGAAATATTCCAACCACTTAATGCCTATGTTATTCCATTGAAGAATAGAACAACGGAACATCTGCTTTGGTTCAGAAGAGTGGCTAGTATTACTACTAGTCGTTATTCAAAAAGGTGTGGCTCAAAATAGATCAAATAAACCAAATATTTTTAAGTTATTATAAAAGCTAAATAACACATAGCGTCGATTATGGAGTAAAATAAAAAACTACTGTGGTGTGTGCTACTTATATTGACATAAGTAGTATACGATGTTAGTCGTGAACAGAAGGTCTGGCAGCAGAGGGACAGGAGGATCGAACAGTAAAGAATGGAAACAGAATGCAATTTGTACGAAAATGCAAGAACAATGAAGTCTGAGTCATTTTGAGACAATCGATGGACATTTTGCAAATTACGTATTTACTATTTGATTGTTAGATTTTATTAACAAGTCCTGTAATTTTGTCAGATACGTTCGATTGTCCCTACTGGTGTTCGTGTTCTCTACCCTACTATCAAACTATGGATATAAAGAAGGAAACATGAGAAATGATAAACAAAACAGAGTATCTGACGACGATTGACAAAATAAGTTATGTGTATAGTATTATTTTCTTAAAAACTCTAATAAGAACAGATGGTTTACCTGCTTGATAATAACTTCTTTGTACATCTAGATAATGTGTGGAGCTATTGTAGATGATGAAACCAACTTGTTAATGTAGTTTTATCAAAGATTTATTGATGTGAACAGAGAAAGAAAGAAGCCATGACAAACAACGGAAGCCATTTTATAGGATGTTATTTCACTTAATTCAAAGTTTGTAAAATACTAATATTTAGTTTTGTTCCTAGTTTATTCTACAAACCATAAGCTTTCGTCTGATATATGATTCACTGCTATATCATTTTCTGTTCCAAAGCTATTATAATTTAAACGTAACCTTTTCTATCCCAATGCCAAGTTTGGATACTGTATTTTTCTAGTTGTCTGTGCATTGTCGTGTTAGTCATCCGTTTATTCATGTATCTTTTTACACTAATCTGAATTGGGAATAAAGAATAAATCTAGTAGTGTTCTAGCTGACTAGTCTTCGCTCCCACTTTTCAATGAGTCAGATGATAGAATAGTTTTCGTCTCTCTGCTCAAGGCCGTTAGTTTTAGTACGGAATCACGCATTTCTAGCCTCAATGTTAAACCAGTTAGTTTGTCATGTCAAGGCTTTAACGTAGATCGAGACAAGTTCTCTGCTGTATATTACTACGTGGAGAGATCAAGGAAGTGAAACTTATCTTCGGGAAACTGTTTTGTCGGAAAAGTAGTTAATATCCATCAGTAACTCTTACCGGAAATATTGATGACTTTGAAATAAGGAAATATCGTTAACTTCATAAGCATAGCTGATGTGACAACCCCTAGACTAGGTGTTATACGGGTAGATGCATTAGTTACCCGGTTCTAATTGTCACTCAATTTACAACAAATCCATCAGAACAGAAAAGGGGTTAAGCCCCTGACTTGTAAATAAAGAGCTTCGGTTTTTCTAATTTATGTAATTATAGCTTTTATCATTTGAAGAATTTAGGCCTAGCATATTTGCAACGTTAAATTACGGAAAAAGAATGATAAATGTTTGTATTATGGTCTATTCAAATTAAGTAAGGTAAGACCGAACTGATTATGATATGAACAACACCACTGATAGGTCACAGATGAAAAAGTAAATTACTAGAATATCAGTCAAACTAACTTTCTTCACATTAGCTGGTGAATAGATAAACGCCAAAAGAAAATTCCAGTGTGAGTCGCCTTTCAGGTCCAGTATCTTAACTGATAGTGTAGAAAACATACCTCGTGGTTTTCTTGAACTAAGCAATTTTTTACTTATGTGTACAATCTGTAAGTAAAAATCTTGCACCCGGCTGCGCACACTACGCTTCAATTATAGACTCATAACGACTTTTTACCTATGCCTTGAAAATCTTTTATTTTTGTGTCGATAAGTTGGCTAATGAACAAGTCCGAGTATCTATCTTCCCTGAGATTAATGCGCAAGACAGTAGGTTTTTTTAATCATTTATGCAGAGTTCATAATTAGTAATCTACGACTGTGTCTTTGTCCTGTGCTTTGTCTCAGAGAGGTATGAAAATTTAACAGAAATTTTCAAATAAGTCTGAAATGAAAAAGAGTGAGTTGTTTTATTAGGTGTAATAACAATGCCACGATCACAGAATATGTAACTCATAGAAAAGTTGAGATTCAGAGGTCGGAAAAGTAAAAACAGCTATGAAGCGAATCAGAAACCAGTTCAAGTTAAAAATGCAAGGGAAACAAAATTCAAAAAAAGATGTATGACTTACAAATATTGCAGTTCAATAGGAATTTCGTTAATCCCTCCATCACAAAGATTTTTAGGTTCTTTATTATCGAGAACAGAAGTACTCCAATTAGACCACAATTTCATTAAACCTATTAACGAAGTAAGAGTATGGATTCGAACCTCCGGCGTAAGTATATCTGCAAGACGGAACCCTAATGTATCGAGCAGTGTGTAAACAAGTGAGCACGTAAAGTAATTAGAGACTTTTGGATCAGTGGTACTACATAAAATGGTATATTTGGGTTCCATATTTGAGGTATTGTAAGACCATAATGGTTGGAGTTTAGTTAATAAGCCTACAAAAAAATGTTGCGAAATCTACTGTTAGAAAAACATTTTTAAATGAAGAATTTTTGGCAAAATTGGCGTTAAAAAAATAGAAAGTTACTATTTATCTAAGCATTTGGAAAAGAGACACTCAAGATTAAAAGCATATGCAGCATCAAGGTTAAACACGATAATACTGAGAATTCTGAAAATATTGTCAAACTACTAATGTATGACTCGGTAATATAACTCTTGAAAGTGAAGATTTTTTTGAAATCACAAATTAATTCATTTGACATGACAACAAAAATTGTCCAGAAATCCCTATTTAATTGAATTGTAGATGTGACCGGAAATTTATCGGGTTGTTACTGAAAACAACCTGCTGGAGCACTTTAATAACTGCTAAAAAATGTTCAGTGACCAGAATGAATTACGATTGTGGTACTATGTCACAAGGACATAATTTATCAGATTTTGAGAAACTAGCTTGAAAAGGGAACCAAATTACTTGATTTTCGGCTGCAAAAATAAAAGTAGGTAGGGTATGAACCACTTATAAAAAAACATAGTTACTCAGGCTACAAATTCTACACGACACAACAATTATAATGAGTCCATTTTTAACACACCCCTTTACGATATTATTGAGAATATTTTCGATCAGAACTATCTGCATCCACCTATAACAGTTGATTTTAGCTGATAAAGCTAACACGATATAAACGACTCTTTTCAACACCAGTCAAAACAACGATGATTCAAATCATCTCGTCCCACCTATAACTATCAAGGTAAAATGGGGGGTTAGAATCACTTCCAATGTGTGAAAGAAGAAATTTATGTCAGGAAGTCCGATCCAATTCAAATGATAGCAGTTCCCCAAAAATGAGAAAAAAATGTTTACTAATATACCCAAGCTAGTGAACATACACATATGAAAAACCAAACGACAAACAGTCCTCAAAGATCTTACGAGAACGAACCTTATGTAAGCCAGGACTGTCGCCCGGTAATTGATGGAATTATAATCCGGCTATAGGTCTCATTGAATAAAACTCGAGACAACAGCTTGGAGTGATCATTTAGCAAAACAGCATGTTCTAATTTAATAACAGTATTATTATTTTGTATAGTTCAAGAACCCAAGAATGAAAACACTGAATTTGTGACGTATATAAGTACTATAACTCATTTGCCAAGTAGCTTGTTTATGCGCTCAGTTTTGAGTGATATTATTTATGTGAGGGCCAGCGATACTAGGTGCCTGCCCAAACCGAAGTAGATAAAATGGTGCTGGAACCAGAGGCCTCGTTAACCATTAATCCGAAAAACCTTTAAATATAGTGACGTAAATAACCGACAATATGTACAAGATTTGAAAAAAAGGATTTAATTTTACGTTATTAAATTCTAGACAAAAAATAGTAAAAATTAAGTATGGAACAACTGTTTTGTTCAGCTCTGTAACTTTCTCAAGTCACAATTTACCGGAACCTGACGAGATCGGTCCTGAAACAATCTAAATCCACATTAAGAAATTATTTAATCAATCGGTGACATTCCCATCTTACAGTAGAGATGGATTTCAGATTCTAACAAAATACTTGTACAGCATACCAACATTATGATATCAATAATGACCGATAGAGAGGTTGGATTTTAGCATTGAAATTAAAATTAGAGTTGAGTTGATAACCGAAAAATACCCTCAATTAAATTTACACCGCTATTTTTGGCAAAGAACCAATTTCTCTAAACAAACACATTTTTGTAGTGGCTGCTAGTAAATTACTTAAGACCCCCACTTGTCAATAAAACGGTCAATTAAGTTAGTCACCAGTACTTTTAAAGTTTCAAGGTGTCTTACGTACTGACCTCATCTGCTTTACTGTTATTGCTGGATAGTAGTCAACCTAGATATGTCGACAAATGCCGGTCTATTGAGAATTCCACGACCAGCTACCAGCATTAATCAGGTTTTTTATTATTTATTTATTTGAACACATAAATATTGGTACAAGAGGACACCAAATATATATGCGCCACACAATCGGGTTATTCATATGACATTCTAACATACTTTGAAACAAACCATCACTTTCACTTAGAGGACGTTTTTTGTGATGAATCAATCAGTTAGTAAGGTTGAATTAATACGATGGCTTATTTAAATCCTTTCAGAATGTTCTGGTGTCCGGTTAATGAATTTCATAAAGTGAATGGGACCGAATATATAATTGAAATTATATGTAATGTGTTCTGATAAGCGTAGAACTTGATTACAAGATACCAATATCAATATAAAAGCAAAACAATACAGGGTGGATTGAAATACCCTCTGGGTTAATTAAAAGCTATGGAACAGCTGCGTGAATACTCAGTACTGGGAATTAAGTGAAGCAAATCAAAACCATCTTTAAATCTATAAAATCTCCCGGTTTTAGCAGTTTTGGTGTACTCCAGTGTTTTGGTACGCCAAAAAAATTGATTATATATGATAAAAGAACAAAAATAAACAATACTCTACAGTATAGATAAAAACAAACAACACTCACACAAAATCCTATTCACGCTATTTGATTCCACTTCGCGACAAGTTAGAATACGGCAAAAAGTTTCTATAACAGCTGGTGTAGACAGCATATTGGAATTTGGAAGGACTGAGAATTTTTGTAGGAAAAAGTGTAAGACTCTGAAAACAGAATGGGAAGGAAAAAGCAAATACTTATTGATTACATCATGGTTCATGAAACTTGTTTAAAAAGGCGTAGCTGAAACAGAAATTTAAACAACGAGAAATTTTAGGTGAAAATGAATCGATTTAATTTACATTTTATTCAGTTTCCGAGAAAAAAAGCAAAAATAATTTTTAATAGTGCTTTCCTTGATGAATGTCGGTTTTACTGGCTGAAGTAAATATGGTCAAATTCGAAACAACTGAAAAACGTGTCCATAAATTAAAGCTAATGCGAATAGTGCTGGACTGGATCAAGATCAAGAACAAGAATTAACGTTGTACTTACAGCATTCTTACATGAACAGACATTGTGCGCATAAGATGGTGAGACAAAGGTTGTAGGCGACCATAGGCAGATAGGTCGTATGGAAAATCAATTTTTCCATTTTTTATTAATCGTGACCATAAAACTCCATGTTCCAGTTTCTGATTATCCTTTGCAGTTTCATTTGTCCAGAATGTGTCTATCAACCTTTGTATTAATTGACTAACTTCATTGTCTGTACTAACTAGAAACAAGAAATAGGTGTCGATTAGTAAATTGCCATATATATCAAATTTAATAACTCATTAGCGACAAATGATTCTTCACTTACTAGTCACAACTTAAGAGATAAGGAAACATTATGCATAGATATAGTCACGAAAGAATTTAAATTGATGAATTCACTTACAAGCATTTAGTACAACGAAAAGTTGGTTCCATGTCAACTTTGAAATTAGATTAACAGAACTATTAGATATTTGAGTAGAACTGACAGATTGTACTAGTGCTTGCATACGACGTGATATACGGGATTCTATCGGTCTAAGTGCTGGTGGCATAACACGTGGTAGATGATCTTGACCAAGTCGACTTTTACGTAAAACATGTTGCCAAAGGCAAACAGGTGCTGTAGCCAAATGCAAAAGTCGACCCTGGCGTTTCCAGCAAGCTGTAGAGGAGCGGAAGTGGGGAGGAAGTAAACCTGATACAAAATAAATAGAAATACATGGTGATATGACAAGTAAACCACAATTAGTATTGTTTTTTCAAATATGTGAAGTATGTATTAAGACTTTATTGTAACATAGATAATAAGTGTATACAGTGTCTACAGAACAGTCTTGTATGAAATTAATCTAATACTAATTATTTGTAGTGGTGTTTTCAAAATGATCAGTTATTCTAGCTTATTTTCTATTTAATACAGACTTTCTGATAAAAATCTTACAACAAAAAATAAACCACGTTAAACTATATGAGAACTAGAGTCTTATATTTCCACAATATGGATTAAATGATTTCATTTGGAGGTAAATACTTGGACCACCGCTCCATATTAACTCAAAAAAGGATTTCCTGATGTGCACTTAGCATTGCCATTCAGGTAGGACAATGTGCATGAGGGCAATAATAGGGGGACTTTCCCACTGAATACTTCCGAATGGATGGCAAATGATATATTAACAAGTCATCCTCACGATCTTTCAGTTTTTATATTTTGACAAAGTGGCTTGACATGGTCAGATAGCACCATAGATAATAAACAAACCAAGATATGGTTTACGACAACAAAAGACTCAGCCCCTCATAAATCTGTATGAGAAATAACACATTCAGCTATTATTTTGTTACTATATTTAAACAAAAGTGCAAGGAACGACGTTGAGCAGTGGTGAACAACGAAAGCAAAATAGATGGGAAAAGGCAGTGGCTGTAGGTAACACCTGACAGCTCTTCACACTAATGAAAGACAGAAAAGAAGTCAAGTGTGAGACAATCTCGGAAAAAGACGACACTCTTATATGATCTCAGTCCAGACGTTTTGAACGGTGAGCCGAACATTTTAAGGAGCAGTGCAACTGGTCTTCAGCTACTGTACAACTACCCACCATTCCCAAACAGCCTGAAGAAAATATTAAAATTAGCCCCCCCCCGACTCTAATTGCAGTTCAGAAAGCTATAGCTAATCTAAAACGAGGAAGAGCAGCTGATCCAGATGGATTGGCTCCAGAGGTTTTTAAGTATGGTGGTCCAATTTTAGCGACTAGGTTGACTAATATTTTAGCTAAAATCTGGGAGTTGCACAGAATACTATCTGACTGGTCACAATCACTAATCGTCCTAATATATACGAAGGGGTCGAAATCATCCTATGATAACCATAGAGGTATAAGTTTGACTAATATAGCATCCAAAAGACTAGCCTCAATAATTATCGGACGCCTAACTAAGACTCGTGAAGTGCAAACACGAGAAAATCAGGCTGACTTCAGACCTGGTCGTCAGGTTCTAGAACACAGTCATACGTATCGGCGTTCGACAATGGTGATCTTTCTTGATTTGAAAGCAGCATTTGGCTCTGTAGACCACGAGATTCTGTGGATGTCTGATCAGAAAAACGATTTTCTATGTGTATATTGCGCTTCAGAAATCAGAAGATGGTGGAGAAGATTTGTAGCTCAGGTGGATGATTTTGATGGAGTTTTGTTCTCTGAGCTGGCTCAGCTCAGAGAACAAAACTCCATCGAAATCAGAAGAGTCCTTCAGTTTTCATTCACTGACTATAGTCAGCAACATTGGAACCAGACTATGCAAGTGTGTGTTATAATCGATGTCAGACCTGAAACTAAACCATCCCATAAGATATTTATTGACATCTATTTTGTGTAAAGTAGGTAACTAGTAAATATAATAGTAAATTTTCATCACTTTATTTAAGCATCGACGAATTAGAACCTAGATGTAACCAGCCCCCAAATGCCCTGGTGTGGCCAAGAGTGGGGAGAGTCTGCCCTCCCTCTCGAAATGCTCTCACATGGCCACGCATATACAGCCTCTGCCAGGGAAGTCCTACTCATTGCCTTCTCGTGGCAGGGGTGTTGTTTACGAAAAATGAGAGGACGAAAGGCGAATGTCCGGCGCTTCAACCGGATTCCAAACCAATGGTGCACATTGGCTCCAGTATCCTGCGGGAACAAATGACGTATGAACCAATCGTTGGTCACCGGCTTCCATGGGACTGCATCTCCTCACGATGCTCCACTGCCTTGTAGGTCAGACCTTTAGGTCAAAGGCTCAGGGTTTGGCCCCCTAAGAAAACCGCCTGCTTCGGTTTGGGCACCCGGGCAGTATCACAGCCCTCACACATATCGAATGAGATTTGTGTGGTGCATATGTATTTGGTGACTCCATGTACCAATATCTATGTGTTAAAATAAATAAGATGTAACCAACGGTTAATTTTATAACCAACTGAATGACTATTTTAACCTGAAACATTCGACGGATATCATGGAGTTGACTATAAATCCAATGGTAAAACTCAGATTCTTATTCAATGATGAGATACAATGATCAATGACAACAAATCAATCACAGGTAGAAGTATCTATATTAAAAGCTGGGTCTAAAATATTAACCAGTGTTTTACTGTAGACAGTGACAGAAACGTCTAAAAAACTGAAGAGTTGGCTATGCTTTATTCATTTACCAGATACATTGTGTTTGTCTTCTGTTGAGTGCTATCAGGCATTTTTCTCTTGATTTAAAGGTGATTCACTGGATAAAAATAGTTTACGTTTGTTTGTTAAAAGATATCTCTCAGAATTTGCGTGCTTAAGTTTAGCGCTGATGCAGTAAAATCGCAACAGACAGACCGAATGAAAGATCGAGATCACGAAAATATCACCTATATTACTCTACATTGTTTTTAGATCACGTACCTACTTGTTGAAGTAAAATAATTTGTACATATGACCTGAAGGTGCAAATTTAACAATTTTAAATGATATTAACTTTTACATCGTTCGAACAGAGATCATTGAGCAACAGAACAAAGATTACAAATACTCCTCTCCAATCTTCGAGATCTTTTAAAGTTCTTATTGAACTACTCAAGTCAATGATAAGTAAGCCCATCTTAACTATGATCCAGTTCAGAAGACCATTTTACAACACATAACCAAAGACAACAAGGATTCGATCCTAGGATCCGAAAAATGTGAATACTGATGAGTTAACTCGGTGGGCAAGTGAGGCTAAATAGAGTGGAAGTAAGACAACTTGGCTCTAAAAGCAAGGGTCCAAATGGTCAGTTTGAACAACATTTTTGTGGGGTTGTTAGACCTAATACGTATCTGCACAGATCGAAGTGAATCTGGAATCAAATTACAAACGAAACTCTTCAAGTCAAAAGCCACAACCGTGAAATAAATTTCCAGAAATGACTAGCTACAACCAACTGAATGTTTAGTAGGTGCCGCGAAGACACCCAAATTCTGCTGTATAATTTGACATTATGGCAGTACGAAAAGGATCATCGCCATTGTGAAAGCGATTTCGTAAAGCCACGAACGATACTGAATAAACTAACATCTTGTCCGCCATTAACAGAAGCAAAAACACCAGGATACAGCATAATGATAAGTTAGACAACTGCTGAATGGCCTGCCTAAAAATCGTTCTGGATACTCATATTACGGTTGAAATGTTCCTGATTTACTGTTAGTCTCAATAAGAAGAGAAAAAAGACACATAATCAAGTCGGTCATGGATGTCACCAAAGCATCGCTCGTGTATTTTGGACCAATTCAGGTGCATTTACTCTCTGTCCTCCCTTAGAACCTGAGTCCTGAAATCCCCTTGTGTCCTTTTCTATACATATTCTTTCCTAATATCACTGATTCTGTCACTAGTTCTACTCTGATATTTATCTTGGTTATTTTACCTCGCTGTGGTAATGAGGTAAGACGACTTGAACCAACAGATATATTGTCAGGTTTTACGTTGCACAGTCAGTCAGTCAGTCAGCTACAACGTAGGACCAGGCACATATGTGCATCGGTCCAGGTTGCCATACCTCATTAGCACAGCAAGATGAACACCGGATTCATAAAAGTAGTTAGGTCAAAGGTGGTAATATATAGGAGAAAGATTGCAATAAGGATATAGTATAGGAAGAAAGAATTAGTTCGTAGAAAGAAAGATGTGAAGTGATTTTAATCTCTTAGTTTAAGGGAAGACAGAGAGTGTATACACCGACGCCATTGTGATCGATTCTGAGCCATGTCACCAAGGGTCTCCAACCATTGGTTACGAAAGTCACGCGGACCCCAACCAAGTAGTCTGCATCTACCAACATGGCTCAGACTAGAAGTTAGTGACTTCAGGCACTGATGCCACGTTTTGGTTTGGCCGCCCCTAACTTTCTTCCAACCATCCCCTACACCGGTTAGCATTGCACGTCGCGGTAATCGGTGTTCAGGCATACGTAATACGTGGCCCAACCATCTCAGTCGATGAAGATTCATAACCTCATCAACTGATTTACCATCATTCCCTAATACCCTGCGTCTAACCTCACTATTACTTACCCGGTGATCCCAGCAGATGCCAGCAATATTTCTAAGGCATCTGTGGTCAAATACTAGTAGCTTACGGGTGTCTTCTACTCTTAAGGGCCATGTTTCGCTGCCGTAAATTAAAACAGAACGGACAGCCGCGCAGTATACTCGTCCTTTTATTGATAGACGGATATCTCGCCTCCGCCAAAGGTGACGTAAGTTGGCAAAAGCCAAACGAGCTTTACGAATCCGTGCTGAGATTTCGTCAGACACCAACCCATTAGGGCTGATCAGACTTCCAAGATAAGTGAAGTTGTCAACACGTTCGACTACTTCACTCCCTATCCTTAGTTCAGGTGTTGACGCAGACCAGTCCTGAAGCAACAACTTGCATTTAGAGGGAGAGAAGCGCATCCCAAACATTCTGGCATTGTTGCTTAGTGCTACCAGAAGACTCTGCATTTTGTCAGCGTCTTCACCAAACAGGACTATGTCATCTGCGTATTCTAAGTCGATAAGTGGACCTCCTGGAAGGAGATCAATACCCGAGAATTCAGTCGACGAGAGTGTTATTTCCATCAATAGGTCTATGATGAAGTTAAACAAAAATGGAGAAAGTGGGCAGCCTTGACGGACACCACTTGAGGTTGCAAAAGTAGATGACAGTTCGCCATAAGCCCTGACTCGACTAGTAGTGTTCGAGTAAAGAGCCTTCACAAGGTTTATGTACTTCTGAGGTACGCCTTTCAATGACAGACACTGCCACAGAGTCTCGCGGTCTACAGAGTCAAATGCTGCTTTTAAGTCAAGAAAGACCACCATCGTCGGACGCCGATAAGTATGCCTGTGTTCTAGAACCTGACGAATGGTGAATATGTGGTCGATGCAGCCACGACCAGGTCTAAAGCCAGCTTGGTTCTCTCGTGTTTGTAGTTCACGAGTCTTAGTTAGGCGTTTGATAATTATCGAGGCCAGTATTTTAGATACTATATTTGTTAAACTAATCCCTCTGTGGTTGTCACAGGATGATTTTGACCCTTTCTTATATATTGGGACGATAAGTGATTGCGACCAGTCAGATGGGATAACGTCTAACTCCCAGATTTTAGCTAAAATATTAGTCAACCTAATCGCTAAAATTGGACCACCATCCTTAAAGACTTCTGGAGCCAGTCCATCTGGACCAGCTGCCCTTCCTCGTTTCAGATTAACTATAGCCTTCTCAACTTCAGCAAGAGTTGGGGGACCTACTTCAATGTTCCATTCACACTGTCTGGGAATGGAGGGTAGTTGTAGAGTAGCTGAAGGCCAGCTGAACTGTTCTCTAAAATGTTCCGCCCATCGTTCTAAACGTCTGGACTGGGAGCAGATGAGAGTATCATCTTTTTCCGAAATAATCTCACTTACACTTGACTTATTAATTCCAGTTTCTTTTATTAGTCTGTAAAGCTGTCTTGTGTTCCCTATAGTCGCCGCCTTTTCCATCTCTTTTGCTTTCGTTACCCACCACTGCTCACGGTCGTTCCTTAGACTTTTTCTTAACCTAGATCTGATTTGTTTACGCTCTTCATCATGTTCAGAACCTGATGGGACGAGTTTGCGAGAATCCATCAGTGTGACAGACCTTGAAGAAATCCACTGGTTCCTTGTAACTCTGTGGTTTAAGTCACTAATAGATGTCACTGCTGTTTCCACAGCTGCTTGTATGTCCTTCCAAGCAACATCTGGGTCAGCCTCGTCTTCACAACTAACTAAGTGTGACCTCAGTTGTTCCTGGAACCTACTTTTGGTTTTCTCGTTACTCAACTCAGTTCTAATGGGTCTTTTTAATGTGGCTTTTTTGCGTCCAGTGAGGCGCAAGCAGATGCGTGCCCGTATTAGGGCATGGTCGGAGTCCAAGCAGGTACTCCAGAATGAACGACAATCTTCTACCGACCCTCTCCAACGATGACTGATGGCAATATGGTCTATTTGAGTCCATCGTTGGTTTGGTGTAGGGGGTCGCCATGTTAGACGATGTCTCTCCTTATGCTTAAAATTTGTGTTTGCTAAAAATAAACGATTGTCTGAGCATAGCTGCAGCAGACGATCACCATTATCTGTTCGCTGTGTCGGAATACTAAAATATCCACCTAAATGCCTTTCTGTTTGGTTTAAACTGCCTATCTGAGCATTAAAATCACCTGCTACGAGTACTATGTCTGAGCGTTTAGCTTTCTGAAGAAGTTCGGATAGCTTTCTGTAAAATTCATCTTTCACTTCATCTGAGCTGCAGTCAGTGGGAGCGTAGGCAGAAACGACAAAAAGGCAACGACGTGTGTCCCTATCCTTCCGAGTTCTTACGTAGCCGTTCAGCCGAACAGCACATAGACGACTGTTGACGGGGATCCACTCTAGCAGTGCTTGTTCGGCCCTCATGCTTAGTGCTATGCCTACACCTGCCAGTCCACGAGAACTTGCCATCGGGTCACCGGACACACGAAGGGTGTATCTCGTTGGCTCTCCGTCTTGCCGAGGTGAGGTCAAGTGAATGACCACACTGGAATCCTGTATGCGTGTTTCGGAGACACAGCATACATCAATGGAAAGAGACTCTAGGGTTTTAGCCAAGGAAGCCTGCTGACCGATTTGACATAGGGTGCGTACGTTGAAGGCTCCAATGTGTAGTTTGGAGCGAGGTTTCAGTAGACCTGGGACAGTGTTTTGCGCACTAGAATCGTTGGCTATGGTGACACTTGAGGTGGAAGCCGAGAGAGGAAATACAGAGTTGAAAGTCGATGTAGGAGGAATAATAGGAATTGAAGAGGAGGTTGATTATGAATACAGTGGTCTTGAGTGCTGTTAGAAGTATGAGGGCGGTTATCACTTCCCGGTTGCCCACACCGTGGAAGGGTTGTTCTGGAGGTACCTGAAAAGGAAATTGGATTAGAGGTGGTCTTAGTGACCTGAGAGCGTGACCGCAGTGCCCAAGGGACAACTGCTTGAGGTCGGTCACACACGACCTTGTTATGGGTAATTTTTGTGTTAGCTCCGTACTTATTGAGACCTTACCGCCGGAGACGGATATCCGTGGGATAAGGCGAGGTGTGCATTTTTAGGGTCGACCTTTTCTAACCCCACCCCTCCTTGTGGGAAGGCAGCATCGCTGTCATGCTGGTTGTCTGAAGGAAACACCTTACTGCTGTCACACCTCTGTACAGTCAGCAGTACGACTTCGCCTTCGGACCTTGGGTTTGTTGCTTTTAGTCTTACCGCTCTTCAACCGACCTGTCTGACATGGTAGGACCTTGAGGAACGGTTGTTCCAGCCAGTATAGCTCGGTTGCTTCATCACGATAGGCAAGCCCGACCACCACGTCAAGGTAGCAACAACGGTCGGGTTTACGTTGCACACGACTAAGTGACTAGGGTCAGCCACACAATTTCATTTCAAATCATACCTTCTGAATCCCAATAAGCAGGAAACCTAGGTTTATAACTTTTTTTTGGCTATCTCAAACCAATTAATATTACCATATGGTGCACGCAAGATCGATTCATTTAAGCTAGTGACATCTAAACCTGGTCGCAGTACCAGAAAATAAATCACTTATTTTTCGAAAAAAATCGTCAAAATGAGTTTAGATTAGCTGTGGATTATCGCAAGATCTCTCAGACTAAAAAACTTATCAGGAAAGGTATATAGCTATTCACTAAAAACAGCTTACTCTCGGTTTCATTCTGAATACATTCGTTGTCCGAATCCTCAGCAGAAGTGGAGCTTTGTTCCTGTACTTCATTTTCATTATCTTTATGGGTAACAAGTTCACGATTGAAATCAGAGTTATCGATATCCATCTTTTTGGAGATATGAAATTGAGAAACACTAAACTTAGTATTTTCTGTTGTACTGCTTAGTTCGTTGCCTAATATGTTTTTGGGCAGAACTCCATCTTTTTGTGTTAAACTAATCTCATTATCATTTGACTGACCAGTGGAATCCTTCCTACTACAACATGGTATAGGGAGATCGATAGCTCGGTCAGGATCTTCAGCTTCAGGGAACAAAATATCGAAAAGCCGGAGGCAAGGGACAAAATCTGTTAACTAAAATACAAAAATTGCAGGTTTATAATCATAATACATAAACCATGTGTATAAATTAGGTTTGAACACGGATTAATCATCTAAGCCTTGATTTATATACGTTAACCAAACATTGGGTTTTATTCTTCAAAATTCCATGAAATCTCCGGTCAATGTGTAAACTCTACTACGAATAATATACAGGTAAACAATAGTAAATAACAAGGTGAAGTCTCATCTATCAGACTAGGAAGGAATAGTAAGCTTGATTAACTATTAATTATTAGACAGTCGTTTAGACAAAAAAAACACTAGGTAGCAACTTAGAAAAGGATTCAAGGTGTCAAAGGTTTAGCGAACCCCAAACTGATTAAATTAATTTCTAGACAAACTTCAAAACACTTATATCATACACAAAGGGTAAACTGGAGTTGTTTTCATATGAAAACTAAACCATAAAACACGAAATTCTTGTTAGAGTTGACCATTATTTTATTTTTATTTTTATTTTAACACATAGATATTGGTACATGGAGTCACCAAATACATATGCACCACACAAATCTCATTCGATATGTGTGAGGGCTGTGATACTGCCCGGGTGCCCAAACCGAAGCAGGCGGTTTTCTTAGGGGGCCAAACCCTGAGCCTTTGACCTAAAGGTCTGACCTACAAGGCAGTGGAGCATCGTGAGGAGATGCAGTCCCATGGAAGCCGGTGACCAACGATTGGTTCATACGTCATTTGTTCCCGCAGGATACTGGAGCCAATGTGCACCATTGGTTTGGAATCCGGTTGAAGCGCCGGACATTCGCTTTTCGTCCTCTCATTTTTCGTAAACAACACCCCCGCCACGAGAAGGCAGTGAGTAGGACTTCCCTGGCAGAGGCTATATATGCGTGGCCATGTGAGAGCATTTCGAGAGGGAGGGCGGACTCTCCCCACTCTCGACCGTACCAGGGCATTTGGGGGCGAGTTGACCATATGCTGTCACCTTTGATTTGTCTATGAACTAGTACCAGTATTTTTAAAAAACCCAGTCAGTAATAGTAAGCAGGGAAGGAATAAATAATATCTAACTCCAGCTTGAACTTTAACGACTTTAAATAGCTGAAAGTAGGCATCGGTATATCTGTGTATAAAAATTCCTTACTTGTGAAGAAAGTAGTAAATATATATTACAGCAAGATTGAGACTCTGGATACAACAGCAACGGCTTCTAGTTTTAGTACTGATAACTTGGTATTTTTAGTATAACTGAACGCAAATAATCTCTGTCTCTCCAAGTGAAATTTACCCAGGTCCTGGTACTGATTTGACTAATACAGTATTGATTAGTATACTAAAAGGAACTGGAGTAGAGTGCTGTACGTAATACACTTTTAACGTGTGATTCTGTAAATGAGAATTCATTAGTTTATGTAGTGGATCAAAGTATTTGAGTGTTTCCGTGAACCATGAAACCCACTAACTGCACACATTGATGACCTACACATTTTACTCATGTGAAACTATGTAAGGTTTGAAAATCACAATCTAAGCCAAATTATTTCTTAAGCTTAGTTAAATGAAATACATTAAGCAAACGGTTTCCTGCCAATTAACCAAACCGGAAAAAATGAAATCTACCAACCATATTTTTTCCAATGAATCCTGAAGTAGCATTTAGCACGAACCACATTACATAATGACTTGATTTAGTCCACGTACGACCTTCCAGCTGTGAAACGGAAGAGAAAATATGCACGAAGACAACTTTAAATATTGTTAAAACAATAAGATATTTGATTATATTAACAAGACAAATAGCATTCTGTGCATTATTAATTGTGCCAAACTTTCATGTTAACGTCAACTAATCATACTCAGCAGAGAAATACGTTTACAAAAAGGACAAAAACTAAAACTCGTGAATTGATTGTCCATACAATTCACTATATGTAGGATAATAATAATAATAATAATAATAATAATAATAATAATAATAATAATAATAATAATAGTAGTAGTAGTAGTAGTAGTAGTAGTAATAATAATAATAATAATAGTAATATTAGTAATAATAATAATGCGCGACTCGTCAGGATCTTTGTAGCACAAGAGGAATCAAAACCCGTAAATTAAAGACGAACAGATGCCTGACTCATCAATCCTTCAATGTCATCTACATCTATATATGACATATGAGGCTTGTTAGCTCCTCCACATTCATTACCATGGATACAAACAGTGAAACTTTTGGTTTACTGGAAATAACCTCCTAATAAGTATGGATATAGTATAATCAGACATTCAAGGGGTTAAATGTGACCCAGAATCATAGGGACAAAGGTCGTGCTAAAGATTCTTCTGTTGTCAGAATAAAAAGAAAGCTGAATTAAGATCTAACCATAAGCATTGCGAATTTACCTTCATGTAAGCTTATTTCTCATTGACAGTGATTTTTGAGTCTGTGTCAATTAAGCCATGTCTGATAACGTCTCTAGCCACTGTGTAGCACCATCTCTCGGACCCCAACTAGCGTGTCTTGAAGGACCAACAGAAGCCAGTCCTTTGCAGCTTTCTTTCATGCCACGACACCATGTCATGCACTGACCACCTCTCCACTTTTTCCAACCAGTCCCACAGTCGGCAAATAATGCACGACGTGGAATTCTCTGGGATGACATTCGTAGAACGTGTCCAAGCCACCGAAGTTGATGTTTCAAGATGGTGACATCGATTGCATTATCATCTCTGTGCCCGAACATACGATGCCGAACCTCTTCATTACTAACATGGTGTTGCCACTGGATGTCAGCAATCCTTCGGAGACAACGATGATCAAACACAGAGAGTTGTCTAACATCCTTAACTCGGAGAGACCAGATTTCACAAGCATAGAGCAGAAGTGCCCTCAACGACGCGTTGTAGATTCGACCTTTTACAACCACACTGACATCACGAAGGCGCCAATGGTGGGCCAGATTGGCATAAGCCGCTCTGTCTTTCACTATTCGTGCATTGATCTCATCAATCACACCCCCACCAGCACTTATGCAGCTACCTAGATACACGAGCTTCTCGACTACTTCTATCTGCTCACCATCCAGGGTGAGTACAGGATTAGAATCCTGCCAGTCTTGTAGAAGTACTTTGCACTCCGAAGGTGCAAAGCACATACCGTACCTACGGACACTGATTGCCAACTGATTAAGTGCGGTTTGCATGGCTTGGGTATCATCGCACAGCATGATAACATTATCCACATGCTCAAGATCGAGAAGTCTTTCTCCAGGCAACAGATCCACACCACCATTACTTACACCCATCAGAGCTGTTTCCAGAACGTCGTCGATGGCGAAGTTGGTGAGGGATGGTGAGATTAGGCAACCCTGACTAACTCTACTGCTTGAATGGAACAATGGAGAGATGTGGTTGTATTCCCTTACTCTGTCTGAGGTGTTAGTATATAAGGCTTCGAAGATGTTAATAAACTTCCCAGGCACACTCTTCTTCAATAGACAATCCCAGAGAACAGTACTGTCCAACGAATCAAAGGCAGCCCTGAAGTCAAGAAACACTACAATTGTTGGCCTTTTATAAGTATGACGGTGTTCTAACATTTGGCGGAGGGTGAAGATATGATCAATACATCCTTGACCAGAACGAAAACCAGCCTGCTCCTCGCGAGTCAATCATTCTCGAAGTATGACGGGAGCCAATAGCTTGGACGTAATCGGAAGTAGACTTATCCCCCGATAGTTGTTACAGGAACGACGTGAACCCTTTTTAAAGATAGGGACAACTATCGACTCGTTCAATGACGTTGGTACACTCTCTAGCTCCCAAACCTTTGTGAACAACGTCGTCAATTCCTTAGTCAGAAAGTCACCACCATCTTTAAAAAGAGCCGGTGGTAAGTCATCTGGGCCCGGTGATTTGTAACGCTTCAAGAGTTGGAGTTCCTTGCGGACTTCTGCCTCAGCAGTCTTGTACACAACCACGCCAGCGGTAGCTGATCGCGAAGTGATCAACCTCAGTCCAGGCTTGGGATGCAGAGGGAGGACGCCAGGTGGCACATCGGTGATAACTGTGCCCAAAGTTAGTGCTAGCCAGAAACAGGTTGTGGTCTGTGCAAAGTTGCAGTAGACGGTCCCCGTTATCTGTCCTGCGACCAACAAGTCCCCATCGGCCACCTAAACGACTCTCTTCTGTGCCTAGACGCCCGACCTGAGCATTCAAGTCTCCGGCTAGTACTACAATATCTGTCGAACGCACTTTCTGTAGAAGAACAGATAACTGGTGGTAAAACTCATCCTTGATTGCATCCAGGCTGCAATCTGTCGGGGCATACGCGGAGATGACGAAAAGACATCGTTTCTCACGCCGATTTCTTCTCACTTTGATGGAACTTTCTAACCTAACAGCACATAACCAAGTGTTAATGGGGATCCAATCGATTAGTGCTGCCTCAGCTCTAGCGCTTAGTGCGACACCAACGCCAGCAAGACCAGACGAAGATGCCACAGGGTCCCCGGATAAGCGCACGTAAAACAAGCTTTTCGAAGCGACAGATGAAGAGCGAATTTGTAGTACTTCACCAGAGTCTTGAATACGGGTCTCGGATAGACAGCAGACATCGATATTAGGACTTTCCAAAGACATAGCCAGCCCTATCTGTTGTCCGACCTGCATAAGTGTGCGAACGTTGAAGGCAGTCAGTTTGAATGGTGCACGTGGTTTCAGAAAAACTGCTTCAGTATTCGTATTTGGTGGTAGCATACAATTTTCAACCAGGCAGTGACTCGAGAACGTTTAGATAGAACCGAGTTTCCACCATAGGCGAGCTGCTGTATAAGTCGAAAAGTAAGGATACATAAAGTGGTAATAAAAGAGAGTGAGTAAATGACGTAGTAAATAATAACAATAACAATAATAATGTGAATCGTTTGATTGCTGATCGAAGCAAGACAAGTATTTTCCATAAATATCGACATTTCATCATATTTGTGTGTGGGCTGTGATACTTCCCGGGTGCCCAAACCGAAGTAGGTGGTTTTCTTAGGGGGCCAAACCCTGAGCCTTTGACCTAAAGGTCTGACCTACAAGGCAGTGGAGCATCGTGAGGAGATGCAGTCCCATGGAAGCCGGTGACCAACGATTGGTTCATACGTCATTTGTTCCCGCAGGATACTGGAGCCAATGTGCACCATTGGTTTGGAATCCGGTTGAAGCGCCGGACATTCGCTTTTCGTCCTCTCATTTTCGTAAACAACACCCCTGCCACGAGAAGGCAATGAGTAGGACTTCCCTGGCAGAGGCTGTATATGCGTGGCCATGTGAGAGCATTTCGAGAGGGAGGGCGGACTCTCCCCACTCTTGGCCACACCAGGGCATTTGGAGGTTCGTATATTGATGTTCCAGATGTGTGGAATTCATCTGAAATAAAAGTGATGTTTCTTGAAGCTGTCAAAGCAGATAGCTTTAAGTAAAACATTAAATACAATAAATTTATTTTATGATATTGTTTACTTGAATCTTTTCATTGATGTTTAGGACTGCAATTGGTCAGTCTCTTATTGGCATATGTGCACAATATATCCTTTCTTTTCCAAGATTTTTGAAGATGTTTTCGAATACCAACAAAAACCCGAACAACTAATGAGAGGATTGGTCAGATAGATGTACCTACATCTTAGTGTTTATGTTCATACCGGAATATGCCCAGACGCGTATCCTGAGTTGCACTGTTAACTGAAATCGAAGTTTGCTAAAACTTAGGACCAAATAGAATTATTGGAGAAATCTGCTCAACATACGTATATGCCAAAAATGAATCGTCAATTACAGCCCCCACTGTCAACAACGAGAATATACAAACGCTTATAAATAATGGTGGAAGTAATATTAAGAATACTAATTTTCATTTTATTGGTGTTTAGTCTTAAAAAGCCAAGTTAATAACAGCCTAAGCGCAAAATAAAATACATATGTTTTTCACAAAAATGGCTTGGCCAAGTCGAGATGCAAAGTTTTACAAAATTGTGCTTACTTTTGAATTAAGTTTGACAACGATTTCATTAAATCTAACCGTGCTGTTCAGCATGAAGGTAATCATAACACTTATTAAATGTTCGAATATTGTACGGTTCCACGCTTCGTCGTTTGTACATTCCAACAGTTCCATAACCTGAACAATTAATTCGACCAACGCAAGTTCCAGGCCCACAGATCGAGTTTTCTTCCGTGGTATTTAGTTAGTGAGTAGCGTTAAACGAAACAACACCAAAATCAAGGGGATATAAATTTTGAACCTAACTGTATCAGTATGTAATAACCCAAAATGCAATAATAATACTGTGCAACATACAATGGTAGTGTACTAGCAACATACAACACACTTGTAAGTATAAGTCAGGTGAGTCATTGAAGTTAAAGAGGGATGAAGAAAACTACATACACATTTTGGTTAGGATTATAGGTTAAATCAGCGGTTAGTATAGTGAGATCGATTTCTCTCTAAGATCTGTACGAATACAGTAATTAAGTCCCCAACCACCTTTATTTTGATTGACGGAAATACTTTCAAGAGTTATTCTACTAGTTCAAGGTTATATAGGTTTTTACTTTTAGAACCATAGTCAAATAATTGTATTGCTGTTTAGGTCTCACAGATCATTTCAACGCGATCTCGTAACTAGTATAGTATCTTTAAGACAAACAGTTATGACAGTAGTCCAGAAACTCAAATTAGCCGTTAAGCTATCAATCCGAAAATATCCTATTTCAGTTCAGACAGTTAGAAAGTATTGTTAGATATCATACACTATGTATAGCTTAAAGCCCAGTTATGTACGATAGTAACTGACTGCTGAACAACATTTGTTTCCATAATTTTAGTTTGGAATCCATAAAACTCCCAGTCACTCTATGTAAGAAGTAGGTGACGTATATCAGATTCTAAGATGAACATTTGAGAGTATTCTTATCTCTGTTGTCAAATTGTCGGTCAACTAAAACATAATAACACCATAAAATAGTTGTCAGCATAATATTAATCCCGTAACGATTTAATTTAAATTTGTTCATATTTTTATCTCTACATTTTTAAAACTAAAAATATACGTATTTCAAAAACACAGAAAACGTACAACTTTTCCACTCGCAGGATCAAGCATTCCGGTTGTAAGTTCAAAACTTCGCAGCTGACCCAAAACTGTACACAAAAGAGGCAACTGTGAGCTTGTAAGAAATTCAGGATATCGCATAGCACCTTTAATAGAAGTCAAGACGAGATTAGAAGAATCCAGTCTATAGTTTGGAGCACTCAATGAGGTTATTCCGCAGAAAGGAGTCATGGCATGGTAAACTAGAAAGATATAAAATTATGTATTAAAACTGATTCTTCGAATTTAAAAACATATGAATATACTCAACAAAGCATTTCCCAATCAGTTAGAACTACAACCCACTGTAACGGTCTTCGGCTTGAAACAACTTTGTTAGCAAACTTTACATGTCCCAATGACAGACTGGGAAGAAAGACATATCACCAAGATTACAAAAAAAGAGATCTGAACAAATGTGAGGACTAAAGAGCATCACACTACTGTCAGTACTAGTAAAGGTTTTCAACAAAGTGTTGCTGAATAGGATGAAAGATTCAGTAGACAACCAACGTTAAAATCAACAGGCTGAATTCAGTAACGATAGGTCGTGCACAAACCAAGCTGTAACACTACGGTTCATCGTTGAACAATCGATTGAATGGAACTTGTCACTATGTATCAACTACCTTGACTATGAGAAGGCGTTTGGCAGCATGGATAGGAGGACCTTATGGAACCTTCTTCGACACTATGGTGTACTTGACAAGATCGTTACTATATGACGGGATTCTTACGACAGACTACACTCTAAAGTCGTGAATGGAGAACGGCTGGTAGATTCATTCCAAGTGAAGACCGGTGTTAGACAAGGCTGTTTATTCTCCCCTTTTCTCTTTCTTCCAGTGGCAGGCTAGATTAGGAAGACCTCCACATCTCAGGAAAAGCACAGAATACAATGAACAGCTTGCATACAAATAGACGATTTAGACTTCACAGACGACCTAGCTCTTCTATACCATAAACATCAGCAAATGAAGGTCAAGACAAACAATGTAGCAGCAGCCTCTATATCAGTAGGCCTCAACATACACAACGGAAAACGCAAGATCCTCAAATACAACACAGTGAACACCAACTCAATCACACTTGATCGAGAAGCTCTGGAAAATACGGAATCTTCCACGTACCTGGACCTGGACAGCATTATCTATGAACAAGGAGGATCTGATGCAGACGTAAGGGCAAGGATTGACAAAGCAAGGATAGCATTCCCACAATTGAAGAACATGTGCAACTCAAAACAACAGTAAGCCAGTGTCAATGTCACAATCTTCAATACGAATGTCAAGACAGTTCTATTGTACAGAGCTGAAACTCGGAGAACTACTACAACCATCATCGAAACAAAGCACAGATATTTACAAACAATTGACTACGCAAGATACCTAGTGTCCGTTTGCCGGATACCATCAGCAACAGCCTACTGTGGGAGAGAATAAACCAGCTTCCAACTGAGGAGGAAACTAGGAAAAGACATTGGAAGTGGATAGGACACACATTGAGGAAATCATCAAACTGCATCACGAGGCAAGCGCTAACTTGGGTTCCTAAAGGGAAACGGATAAGAGGAAGGTAAAAGAACACGCTGAGCGAAGAATCGGAAACAGACATGAAATGGATGAATAGCAGCTGGAAAGGATTGCTCAGGACAGAGTTGGATGGAGTGCTACTGAGTAGCCTTTGCTCCTCCAAGAGGTCAGTCAGTCAGTAACAACATAGAACTTCGTACGTACGTACATCAGTTCGGGTTGCCACACCACATTAGCACAGAGATGCAGTGGTCGATTCAAATCCCGTAGTGCTAGGTGTAGTAAAATTATAAGCTGTAGTCAGAAAAATTAGAGTTTGAAGATGCTATTCAAGGAGTATAATCTAGTGAAATAAATTTGGAAAGAGAAAAAAGAAAGGGACATTAAGAATTCAGAAGATTAGAATTTGGGAGAACACAAACAGCGGATGCACCTACGCCATTGCAAACGATTTTGAGCCATGTCATTCAGGGTCTCTAACCATCGGTTTCTATCATCTCGCAGTCCACAACCAGGTAATCTGCACCTACCAGCATGGCTCAGTCCACTTGTCAGTGACTTGATGGATTTGTGCCATGTTTTGGTCTGGCCGACCCTAGCTTCCTTCCAACCAACTCCTACATCATTAAAAATTGCCCGTCTGTGGTTGGGCATACGTAACACATGCCCCAGCCTTCTCAACTGATGAAGTCTCACTGCTTCATCAATTGATTTGCCATCCTTACCTAGAACCCGTTTCCTAACAACTGCGTTACTTACTCGATGGTCCTAGGATATACGAGCAATGTTTCGAAGACACCTATGATCAAATACTAGTAACCTACGGATATCCACTACTGGTACGGCCGGAAGTGGGGAGAGTCCGCCCTCCCTCTCGAAATGCTCTCACATGGCCACGCATACACAGCCTCTGCCAGGGAAGTCCTACTCATTGCCTTCTCGTGGCAGGGGTGTTGTTTACGAAAATAAGAGGACGAAAAGCGAATGTCCGGCGCTTCAACCGGATTCCAAACCAATGGTGCACATTGGCTCCAGTATCCTGCGGGAACAAATGACGTATGAATCAATCGTTGGTCACCGGCTTCCATGGGACTGCATCTCCTCACGATGCTCCACTGCCTTGTAGGTCAGACCTTTAGGTCAAAGGCTCAGGGTTTGGCCCCCTAAGAAAACCACCTACTTCGGTTTGGGCACCCGGGAAGTATCACAGCCCACACACAAATATGATGAAATGTCGATATTTATGGAAAATACTTGTCTTGCTTCGATCAGCAATCAAACGATTCACATTATTATTGTTATTGTTATTATTTACTACGTCATTTACTCACTCTCTTTTATTACCACTTTATGTATCCTTACTTTTCGACTTATACAGCAGCTCGCCTATGGTGGAAACTCGGTTCTATCTAAACGTTCTCGAGTCACTGCCTGGTTGAAAATTGTATGCTACCACCAAATACGAATACTGAAGCAGTTTTTCTGAAACCACGTGCACCATTCAAACTGACTGCCTTCAACGTTCGCACACTTATGCAGGTCGGACAACAGATAGGGCTGGCTATGTCTTTGGAAAGTCCTAATATCGATGTCTGCTGTCTATCCGAGACCCGTATTCAAGACTCTGGTGAAGTACTACAAATTCGCTCTTCATCTGTCGCTTCGAAAAGCTTGTTTTACGTGCGCTTATCCGGGGACCCTGTGGCATCTTCGTCTGGTCTTGCTGGCGTTGGTGTCGCACTAAGCGCTAGAGCTGAGGCAGCACTAATCGATTGGATCCCCATTAACACTTGGTTATGTGCTGTTAGGTTAGAAAGTTCCATCAAAGTGAGAAGAAATCGGCGTGAGAAACGATGTCTTTTCGTCATCTCCGCGTATGCCCCGACAGATTGCAGCCCGGATGCAATCAAGGATGAGTTTTACCACCAGTTATCTGTTCTTCTACAGAAAGTGCGTTCGACAGATATTGTAGTACTAGCCGGAGACTTGAATGCTCAGGTCGGGCGTCTAGGCACAGAAGAGAGTCGTTTAGGTGGCCGATGGGGACTTGTTGGTCGCAGGACAGATAACGGGGACCGTCTACTGCAACTTTGCACAGACCACAACCTGTTTCTGGCTAGCACTAACTTTGGGCACAGTTATCACCGATGTGCCACCTGGCGTCCTCCCTCTGCATCCCAAGCCTGGACTGAGATTGATCACTTCGCGATCAGCTACCGCTGGCGTGGTTGTGTACAAGACTGCTGAGGCAGAAGTCCGCAAGGAACTCCAACTCTTGAAGCGTTACAAATCACCGGGCCCAGATGACTTACCACCGGCTCTTTTTAAAGATGGTGGTGACTTTCTGACTAAGGAATTGACGACGTTGTTCACAAAGGTTTGGGAGCTAGAGAGTGTACCAACGTCATTGAACGAGTCGATAGTTGTCCCTATCTTTAAAAAGGGTTCACGTCGTTCCTGTAACAACTATCGGGGGATAAGTCTACTTCCGATTACGTCCAAGCTATTGGCTCCCGTCATACTTCGAGAATGATTGACTCGCGAGGAGCAGGCTGGTTTTCGTTCTGGTCAAGGATGTATTGATCATATCTTCACCCTCCGCCAAATGTTAGAACACCGTCATACTTATAAAAGGCCAACAATTGTAGTGTTTCTTGACTTCAGGGCTGCCTTTGATTCGTTGGACAGTACTGTTCTCTGGGATTGTCTATTGAAGAAGAGTGTGCCTGGGAAGTTTATTAACATCTTCGAAGCCTTATATACTAACACCTCAGACAGAGTAAGGGAATACAACCACATCTCTCCATTGTTCCATTCAAGCAGTAGAGTTAGTCAGGGTTGCCTAATCTCACCATCCCTCACCAACTTCGCCATCGACGACGTTCTGGAAACAGCTCTGATGGGTGTAAGTAATGGTGGTGTGGATCTGTTGCCTGGAGAAAGACTTCTCGATCTTGAGCATGTGGATAATGTTATCTTGCTGTGCGATGATACCCAAGCCATGCAAACCGCACTTAATCAGTTGGCAATCAGTGTCCGTAGGTACGGTATGTGCTTTGCACCTTCGGAGTGCAAAGTACTTCTACAAGACTGGCAGGATTCTAATCCTGTACTCACCCTGGATGGTGAGCAGATAGAAGTAGTCGAGAAGCTCGTGTATCTAGGTAGCTGCATAAGTGCTGGTGGGGGTGTGATTGATGAGATCAATGCACGAATAGTGAAAGACAGAGCGGCTTATGCCAATCTGGCCCACCATTGGCGCCTTCGTGATGTCAGTGTGGTTGTAAAAGGTCGAATCTACAACGCGTCGTTGAGGGCACTTCTGCTCTATGCTTGTGAAATCTGGTCTCTCCGAGTTAAGGATGTTAGACAACTCTCTGTGTTTGATCATCGTTGTCTCCGAAGGATTGCTGACATCCAGTGGCAACACCATGTTAGTAATGAAGAGGTTCGGCATCGTATGTTCGGGCACAGAGATGATAATGCAATCGATGTCACCATCTTGAAACATCGACTTCGGTGGCTTGGACACGTTCTACGAATGTCATCCCAGAGAATTCCACGTCGTGCATTATTTGCCGACTGTGGGACTGGTTGGAAAAAGTGGAGAGGTGGTCAGTGCATGACATGGTGTCGTGGCATGAAAGAAAGCTGCAAAGGACTGGCTTCTGTTGGTCCTTCAAGACACGCTAGTTGGGGTCCGAGAGATGGTGCTACACAGTGGCTAGAGACGTTATCAGATATGGCTCAGAATAGAAGCCAGTGGCGACCCTGCTGTAACCTTCTTCTACTTTCTTCATAAAAAGTGGTTGTGTCTTCCTTAACTGAAAGATTTTTTCTGATTGTGCATTTCCGTTCCCTCTTTATTACTATTATTATTACTACACTACCTTACACCAATCTCTTTGTTATTCTTTTTTTCGCTCTTTACCTTTTTTCCTTCCCTTCGAATTCTCATTAGTGTGGCGCATATATATTGGCGCTCTCTCGTACCAATATTTATGTGTTCAAATAAATAAATAAATAAATCCTCTACTCTAAGCGGCTATGTTTCACTGCCATAAAGTAGGATGGAACGAACTGCTGGGCAGTAAACACGTCCTTTGGTTGGTAGACAGATATCTCGCCTACGCCATAATTGACGCAAGTTGGCAAAAGCTAGTCGAGCCTCCTGTATCCGTGCCGAGATTTCGTCACACACCAGACCACAAGGGCTGATGAGACTCCCAAGATAAGTGGAGCGATCGACATGCTCAATTACTTCACTCCCTATCACTAGTTCGGGTGTCGATGTAACCCAATCCTGAAGCAACATTTTGCATTTCGAGGGAGAGAATCGCATCCCGAACATGCTTGCATTGTTGCTTAGAGTGGTCAGAAGACTCTGCATTTTGTCAGCGTCTTCGCCAAATAAATCTATGTCATCAGCATATTCTATGACAACAACTGAACATCCCGGTAGGAGTTCAACCCCTGGAAATTTAGATGAGATTGTTATCTCTAAAAGTACGTCGACCACAAAGTTGAACAAGAATGGGGAGAGTGGACAGCCCTGACGAACACCACTTGAGGTAATCAATTCTGATGACAGTTCGCCATAAGCTCTCACTCTACCAGTTGTGTTCGGGTAGAGAGCCTTTATAAGGTTAATGTACTTCTTTGGTACTCCTTTCAGTGACAAACACTGCCATAGAACCTTACGATCAACAGAGTCAAATGCCGCCTTAAGGTCGAGAAATACTACCATTGTGGGGCGTCTGAATGTGTGTCTGTGTTCTAGGACCTGACGTAGTGTGAATATCTGATCTATACAACCACATTAACTTGCCATTCTGGTTGACTAGAGAGGGGTAACAGGCGTAAGTAAGTAAGTACAAGTGACGCGAATTGGTAAAAGTCAATATAGTTTTCTGAATCCGTGCCGACATTTCGTCAGAAACCAGACCATCACGACTGATGAGACTCACACGATATGTGAACCGGTCAATGAGTTTAACCACTTTACTCCCCATAATTAATTCAGGCGCTGAAGCACACCAATCCTGAAGTAACATTCTACATTTGGAGAAAGAAGCGCATCCCAAACATGTTTGTATTGTTGGTTTAAGTGGTCAGGAGACTACATTCTGTCAGTGTATCCACCAAACAGAACTATATTCTGTGTATTCTAAGTCAGCATGTGAGTCTCTTAGTAGAAGACCAACCCCTTAAGAGTCAGGCGATGAAAGTGTTATTTCTAAGAGCATGTTTATAACAATGTTAAATAAATATGAGGGAAGCGGACAACCCTGACAAATTCCACTCGAAGTAACCAGTTCCGATGACAGTTCGCCATAAGCACTGACTCAACCAGTAGCGTCCGGGCAAAGAGCCTGCACAAGGTTAATGTACTTCTTTGGTATGCCTCTCAATGACAGACACTGTCATAGGACCTCACGATCAACAAAGTCAATCACCGCCTTAAGGTCAAGGAATACAACTATAGTCGTACGTCGAAAAGTATGTCTATGTCTCAGGACCTGCCTAAGGATGAATATTTGGTCTATACATCCACGTCCAGATCTGAAACCAGCTTGGTTTTTTTCAGGTTTGCTCTTCCTGAGCTCTAGTTGGACGTCGATTTATTTTAGAGGCTAATATTTTAGACATTATGTTAGTCGAATTGATTCCTCTGTGATTATTGCAAGAGGATTTTTGTCGTTTCTTAAAGACTGGGAAGATCAGCGGTTGAGACTAGTCAGATGGGATTACGTCCACTTCCCAAATTCTAGCTAAGATTTCAGTTAATCTAACTGGTAAAATTGGACCACCATCCTTAAAATTCACAGAGGTTAGTCCATGAGACCCTGCTGCTCTTCTTCGCTTTAGATTATTTATAGCCTTTCCAACCTAAGTCAGAGAAATTATATCAGTCTACCATCCGGGTCGTTTGGAGATAGTGGGTAGCTGAAGTGTGAAGGCCAGTTGAACTCTTCTGTAAAGTATTTTGCCCATCGGTCTAATCTCTTGGAGAGAGAGTAAATAATAGTCCTATCTTTTTCCGTGACACTTTCGCTGACAACCGTATTTTCAATATCCATTTCCTTGATAAGTCTGAACGGTTGTCTGCTGTTACCATATCGCCTCTAGCCTCCTCCAATTGTTCCTGAAATATATATACTTAACCTTTTCGTTACTAATTTGAGCTAGATAAGTGGGTAGATACAACGCACATTCAAAAAGTATGAACTGGTATACCCAAAAATAAATCAAAATGACTGACAATATAGTAATCAAAAGATTAAATAAATGCAGATCACTGTATTACGCTGATGAAATGATCGATAACGACACTATATAGTTTAAATAATAAAAGCCCTTAAGTCTATGGCATAGTTAAATAGCTTTTTTAACATTGGAACCGTTTTATTTCCAACAATAAATAGCCAAACATCATTGAAAACTGGACAGTTTTAGTTGATTATACGCAACTAATGAACATACCCTACTAATTGCTTAGATATCTATGTCTCAGTAACCCATTCAAACTACGTAATACTGTCTGTCTTGAGGCTAGATATGACTCAGAATCACTATTTATTTAAGAAATGAGTTCATTCGCATGACGGAGTAGCAAATTTTAGACTTATAATCAGTGCTCTATCTGCATGACCGTAGAGGATAAACTACAACTATTATTCAGAAAGTTTGAAAAACAGTATTCTGCCTTAGGGTTATCTAAGACTGATTCCAGATGAACCAACACAATTACGAAAAAGGGTCACGAAGACAAGATCATGGAACGCTTGAAATGATAACTTGAGAAAGCTTCATCACAAACAGGTGTATGAGGAGTTTCCTTTTCGGCTTACAGAATAACTAAACTTGAACATTGGTACAAAAAGCTCTAAAAGTTACATCCCAACAGTAAATCTTGCGGAACGACTCAAAAAAGTGAACACAATGTATATCAATGACTGCGAAGACCAGCTGGGTCCTAGAGAACTATTGTACTCATTCGCACTAGATTCCAACTTACTCTGAAATGAAACAGTATATGATTTCTGACAATAAACTGTCGTTTCAGACATGCAAATACAATTTTTTTCTAAAAAAAAACTGTTGTTATATGCGAAAAACAGCACAGATTCAGTTTCTTACGGAGTAAGTCAGTGGCGTAAAGGAATTGAATTCTAACGGACATATCTCGAATACCTACGAAGCAATTTTAAAGCATCCACACAAACAGGCGACTAGTTGAGAGAAACTACTAACATTTATCCTCCCTTATAAGTTAAAAAAATCATTACTTTGGATCACGGATCCGTACAATGTATTTAGCTTTTACAATCAATGTAGACTATATCAGAATATAAGGACGTGTAGTTAGTTTTCGAGTTAAGTTAGTAAAGTATAATCTGTAGATCTCAATTTAGAATTTCTAAGAGTCAGAGAATATTGTGAGAATATTGAGATTGTCCAAAGTAGTTTGCTAAGATATGCTGGACTTAGTATAACTCAATACACTAAAAATCCTGAAAAACGATTACTAACCTCTCGAATACAGCAAGCGCGCAGGCCTTTTGAAACTGTCCATAAAGTTGTTGAATTCTGTTTGAATAAACTACGAACGTCATTAAAATTAACCGGATTACCTGAGGAGCGTCGCCAAATTCGCTAGAAAAATTTCGAATTAGCTCATGCATAGCGAAGTAGGCAGGCATCAGGCATATTTCACGACATAAAAGTAGCTGTATTAACTAAAAAGACATAAAGGATGCGGCAAACTAAACCTCTAATGAAGGGTCAATAGTATAAAACAAGGTGCGGTCGCAGAACATTTTCTCTGTAAACTGTGATGACTTTTCAATGCTTTTATTAAAAACTTCACGGTTGCTCTTTATCAAACAATTAAACAAGATTTGACGATTTACCTTATAATCCAGAAAGAAAATTAGCTTTAGAAGAAGCTTAAATATACACCGAAACAAGATGGGAGACTCCACACGCAGATGCTCTGAACATACCAGTGAATGAGCGATTTCTCTGAAGAGTGAGATATAGTTAAATATACCTTGGTGAGAATATTGTCTTTTCAATAGCAAAATCTATGCTCCACAGAATTCGCATCACAATACGTTCATGTTTTATATTGGCTAGCCTTGACATTAGGCAATCCAGTGCCCTAAACCTCTTGATTATGTCAATTATTACCATTCATGTGTCTTACTGCTTTTTGATGCAGAACCTCGCTCCACAGCCTTTGTGACCTGATAACATCCATATCTATTAAACTCATTCCTTCATCTAATATCATACCACCAAGTGACTCTTCTAACATGACAGAGACCTAAAGATAAAGCATATATCACAAACTTACTGTCAACTCATTTATGAACCTATCTATTGCAATCACCGGATCATGTATCATCCCCAGTACAAAAGTTTATTCAATTCTTTAAAGTCTTCAGAATCTGAGAGTTATCAAATTAATAAGTTGACTTTCTAGTTATTTACCAGACAAATCGAAGGTCTGAAGAATAAAAGAATCAACAAAACAGTGATAGAACGAATGAACATGTAAATATAATACTGGTGGTAAAAATAAGGCGGAAGAAAAAACAGTGAACTAACAGAGGTAAGACAAGACAATGTAAAGCCACATTTGTATAGCCGCGTTTACTATTTGATCCCATATATGTAAACACATGAATATATATCTGGAAACTCTGTGAAGAAAAGCTACTATTACTAAATTTTATCACTGGGATGGAACGATTTCATTGAATTACTTAGATGGCTGAATCTCCAAATACTATGGAAACAAATGAAGCTATTCCAACACGACATGTGTACAGCGGTAAATAAATCCCCAAGATAAAGTTTTATATGTCTTTGACATTGATGCTGACCTCATTGGTTTTTCTATTGCTATTGAAAAGACAATATTCTCACCAAGGTATATTTAACTATATCTCACTCTTCAGAGAAATCGCTCATTCACTGGTATGTTCAGAGCATCTGCGTGTGGAGTCTCCCATCTTGTTTCGGTGTATATTTAAGCTTCTTCTACAGTTTTTTCACACCGAACATCGAAGCAGCACACACAGAGCTGCCTGTAGATGTCAATCCACCAACGACGGAAGAAATTGGAATGGCCATCAGACAAATCAAGAGAGGGAAAGCAGCAAGACCCGACAATATACCGGTTGGAGCACGAAATAACTACAAACATGCTTCACTTTCTATTCAAGAAGACTCAGGAGGAGGAACAAGTGCCGATGGACCGGAAAGAAGGACGCCTCACCTAGATTTCAAAGAAAGATCGGAGAAAATATAGAAACTACAGAGGCATCACACTACTTTCAGTACCAGGGAAAGTCTTTGACAGAGTGTTGCTGAACCAGATGACTAACGCAGTAGACGCCTAACTTTGAGATCAACAACCTGGTTTTTGTAAAGATCGGTCGTGCACAGACCGAATCGCAACACTACGGAACATCGTCGAACATGGAGGATAGCTGACAGATGCATTCCAAGTAAGGACCGGAGCCAGACAAGGCTGTCTTCTCTCTCCCTTCCTCTTTCTTATGGTGGTTGACTGGATTATGAAGACTTCGACATTCGAGGGAAAACATGGCATACAATGGACAGCTTAGAACCGGTTAGACGATTTTTACTTCGTGGATGACCTAGCCCTCCTGCCGCATGCACACGAACAAACTCAGATAAAGACAGCCAGTGTAGTAGCAGTTTCTGTATCAGTAGGCCTGAACATACTTAAGGGAAAACCAAGGTCCTCAAATACAACACGAATAACAGCAACCCAATCACTCTTGATGGCGAAACTCTGGAAGATGTATAATCCTTCACATACCTGGGAAACATCATCGATGAACAAGGAGGATCAGATTCAGACGTAAATGGGAGGATTGGAAAAGCAAGGACAGCATTCCTACAATTGAAGAACATATGAAACTCAAAACAACTTTCAACCAATATCGAAGTGACAATCTTCAATGCGAACGTCAAGGCAGTTCTACTGTACGGAGCTGAAACTTGGAGAACTACAACAACCACCATCAAGAAGATACAAGTATTTATAAATGGTTGTCTACGCAAGATACTCAGCATCCATTGGCCGGATACCATCAGCTACAACCTTCGGTAGGAGAGAATAAACCAGCTTCCGGCTGAAGAGGAAATTAGAAAAAGACGATAGAAATGGTCAGAACATATACTACGCAAATCATCAAACTGCATCACTAGGCAAGCCCTAACTCGGGATCCTGAAGGGAAGCAGAAAAGTGGAAGGCCAAAGAACACATTACGTCGGGAAATAGAATCAGATATGAGAAGGATGAATAACAACTGGAAAGAGCTGGAAAGGTTTTCCAGGACAGGGTTGGATGGAGTATGCCTGTGGGTGGCCTATGCTCCTCCATGAGGGGTAACAGACGTAAGTAAGTAAGTAATAAAGTAAATCGTCAAATCTTGTTTGATTGTTCCATCAAGAGAAACAGTGAATTTTTTAATAGAAGCACTGAAAAGTCATCACAGTTTACAGAGAAAATATTCTGCGACTACACCTTGTTTTATACTATTGACCCTTCATTAGAGGTTTAATTTGCCGCATTTAGAATGAGATGCCGCTTTAAAGGAGCTTGTTTGGTTACAGTTTGAAAAAATAACAAAGTTAAATTTTGGGCGGTAAGTGAAGTCGCTCTTTTTCAAGAATTAAACAAATAACTAAGTCGGTTAATTTTTGATGCAGACAGTGTTAGAAGATCAAAGTGCAAGAATAAAAGGAAATGAGATTCCAGTAAGCGAGATATGAAGTAACTATTGATATACAATATTGTTAACAGTCATGCATCGGACATATATGATTAAAGTCAGAGACAGTAGTTCGCGAGTGAGTATTTTCTTGTCAAATAACTTCCTTAAAGTTTTTCATTCAGGAGGCTGCAGCCACCTCACCGGAAGACGGGTTCCAAAGGTTGAAACCCTTATGAGAAAAAGCGTGAGAATAACTGGGTTACCGCACTCTGAGGTGTACGTATTCGGAGGTCGCCTCGAGGAGCATGGTTGTGGTTGTTTCTGGAAGAATCCCGTGTTAGAGTGACTTGGCGTACTCATCGTGTTGTAATCCATTATCAGGCCACCTCTCACTCTCTTGTAGCTCAAAGAGAACAATCTTAAGTTTCAAAATCTGTTTTCGTAGGAATAATGCTTTGGATCTATCAATCGTTTAGTTCCCCGTCTCTGTATTTGGTCCTAGAGTTTAATGTCTAATTTGAAGAGAGGAGCCTCAACAACACTCAGGACTTGAAGGTGGTTCCATGAGTAAGTGTTGAGGAGAGTTTGGATCAACTCTGGAGTGATTGCGACAAAGTGTTTTTATATAAAGTGAAAAATTGCGTTTGTCTTGGATGTATAACAAATGTAATTTGAACTGTAGTCATCAGTCTGAAGTAAGTAAATAAGTAAGCAGTCTTGAGGAGATTTCATTGCTGGATTTAAGGTTTTCGTGTCAAATAGGGCAAAATGTTCATGACGTAGCATTTTCGTAGGTCGGTTTCTTATCTCACTGTTTACTTCCTATATCCCTATTGTTAGAAGGTCCTTTTGAAGCTCATGTGAATCCTTTTTCACCTTTCATAAATATCAAGTTTTTTGCGTCGTTTTCATGGATTAGTTCCACCGACCTAGTTTCATTTAGAAAGTCATCAATAATGATCAGGAATAAGAATGGACCCATGATTGTCCGCTGTGGAACTCTTGATATCGGGACCCATCAGAATGCATGGCTTGATATGATACATCCTGCTCGCTAGGTAGTTTAGAAGTCTAAATAAAAGGTCAAAGGAGCCTATTTCTGCAATAGGTTATTTAGTTGTCCCACGCCATGAGATTGGGTGCACATGACCTACCTTTACGAAATTCGTTTTGGGTTCCACGGATGTTTTTATCCATTTGTTCCCTTAACTGTTCACCAACCAGTACTTTCATTACTTTACGACAAGTTAACCATCTGTTTTTAATTGTACAGTAAGTCTAATACCCAGCGGCTTTGACTCCTAATTTTGCCTATTTGGCGGGTGAGTTGTGCATATAAGAGCATAATTTTCAATCGCCTAACTTTAATCGTTTGAAACTATCTACATGTGTCTTTCATGAACTTTCATGAACTCTGCCTGGAGTCCCTCCGGTAGCTACTCCCGGTCCCAAGCCCGGAAAAAGGAGGAGGGTTGGGCATGGGGTTAGCGTCCCCATCCCGTAGAAAACTAACTCGCCAAAAAAACGCTAACCAGAAAAAATTATTCAAACCTTTTGAACTATGTCCTGGGAGTCAGAAGGTCTTCATTTAGAAGAACTATGACGCCTCATGATGAAAGCCGAATTCCTTCGGAAGTTACGAGCCCGATGCCCCTTCTGACATTCAGAGCGACCATTTATTTAGGTACATGGAATGTTCGCACAACGTGGGACATCGGGAGAGCCTTCCAAATTGCCGCAGAAATGAGAAGACACAACTCAGAGGTACATGGGATCAGTGAAACACATTGGATACAAGTTGGACAACAACGACTAACTACAGGAGAGCTCCCGTTATACTCCGGCTATGATGAAGAAAATGCCCCCACACACAAGGAGTTGCATTGATGCTGTCCAAACAAGCGCAAAATGCACTTATAGGATGGGAATCTCATGGACCAAGGATCACCAAAGCCTCCTTCAAAACAAAGAAAGAGGGCATTACAATGAATGTCATCCAATGCTATGCGCCTACCAACGACTACAATGAAGACGTTAAAGATCAATTCTACAACAGGCTGCAGTAAATCGCCGAGAATCGCCCAACAAAGGACTTGACCATTCTGATAGGAGACCTAAATGTCAAGGTTAGAATGGACAACACCGGATACAAAGACATGGGACGACACGGACTGGGAGAACGAAACGAAAATGGTGAGAGATTTGCAAACCTATGTGCCTTCAATAAACTGGTCATAGGCGGCACTATATTCCCACACAAACGCATACACAAAACCACATGGACTGCACTGAATCACATTACACAGAACAAAATCGACCATATCTGCATCAACAAAAAGTTCAGAAGGACGATGGAAGATGTGAGAACCAAGAGGTAAGCTGATATAGCATCAGATCATCAATTGCTGCTCGCCAAGATGAAATTGAAACTCAAGAAGCACTGGACAACGGGGTGGACAGCATCTCGAAAGTTTAATACGGCCTTTCTTCGGAATAGTAACAAACTCAACGAATTCAAGATAGCGCTCAGCAATAGGTTCCAGGCCTTTCACGATCTACTCAATGGAGAGCGAACTATTATGGAGAGCAACTGGAAAGGGATAAAGGTGGCAATCACTTCAACATGTCGTGAGGTTCTGGGCCACAAGAAGC